GGGACGCGCACAAACCTGAGCAGTGGAATCTTTATCTTTTGCCCTTTCTTTTCGGCTGTTCTTCACGTTTGCCAACCACGCATCCAACACCGACGATTTTTTTTGTCGTTTAGCCATTTAGCCGTGTTGCCACTCTCTCTAACCTTATTACAATCTATTGACCAAAAAAAAAAAATTACCACAAGCTCCCCATTCTTTTTTTTTCCTCTCCCCTCCAACGCATACGTATTAAGTTAATCATGGTGTCATTTATAAGCACGCAATAAGATTCCCTCGAATTTATAATATGAATTGTTTACACACTCATTTAATTAAATAAAAGTGAGTGTTGTATCTTGCATATGTCATTTGGTTTATGTTAAAAGACAAAGAAGCGGGCGTAATGGTAGCTTTAGGTTGGGGATGGTAACCGGCAAGCAGTATAGATGACGTTTGTGCTGTTGTGTGGTTGGGAGCTGACCATTGCAGCTGACTCGCGTCACGAATAGGGAAAAACTGAGAACCATACTTGGGCTGGGCCTGAGTGAAAATGTGGGGATTACATTGTAGATGGGCCTAGGCCCAAATCGTTGTGGGACGAGAAGAGGTGAGAGATTGACGAGGTTATGGTGCGCTTGAATTGCCAGCTCCCCCCGGCAACTGCAATTCAGGATTCTTTAACTATTCTCATTCATGTGATTATCACTTTTAAGATCAATTGCTCCTACCTCTTTACCTTTAAGCATTCAACTCCTACCCAATTTCTTTTTTGCCTTGTCTCTTCTCATTACACTCACCTAATTCGTATCAAACTTATATATATTCATATATATATATAGATATATATATATATATATTCCGTCCTTTTTCTGACCTCTCATTTCTTCCACTTCATATTGATTCAAATCATGACATAACCAGAGGTCATTCATTTAAGAGAGAAAATCTTAAACTAGTTTGAATTTCTTAATACAAGTGAGACATCACTTTCTTGAGGACAAGTAAAGAAAGGCAGCTCGAAGATTGAGAGGAAAAAAAAAAGAACAAAAGAATTTCACATACATCCTACTCATTAATGCTCAGCAGAATAATAATACATAGGGCATGAATTAAATTTGTTATGCTTCTATTATATTGTAAATGACGCAGTTGAAGTTCTAGGTTTCAAAATGGATCCATGCATTGATTGAAATAATTCCAGCTCATGATATTGATTTGGATGAAGTGATTGGAGGGAGAACAGAAGCATGACGAATATTTTATTCTTCCAATTCTCATTGTAAATCCTACTTCTCAAATAAAAATAAATTACATATCCACCACCCCCTTCCTTTTATTTATTTATTTATTTCTTCTATTGGGACGAAATTCAATTAAGAAATTTGAGGCCATAATTCTGAGAAGTAATGTATATTTGGCCAAAAAAGAAGGAACTAGAAAACTTTAATCAAACAACTGCTCAGAATTCATCTACTGCAAAAACAAAGAGTTGAGAAGTCACATTGTCGACTTCGTCTGAAGTCATTGTTAAACGGCAAAACCATACCAAATCCTCGTACGAAGAAGAACAGAAACGTCGGATTTGGTCGGATGAGTATCCAATTTAACATTTGATTTTCACTTGCAACGTTGTCCTTCAGTGACCCCCCAAAAAAAAAAAAGTACATGGCAGCCGAACCTTGGCATAAAATATTAGGCTTGGTTGAATCGAAGAAACAAACATGAGATGCAAAACTAAGCCGAAAACGGCTACGTCACCGAAGTCCTTAGATATTTTTGGATCCATAATTATGACCTTCATTACGGTTTAAGTTTAATTAATCACATGATTATGAATCAACATCGTTATCGTGCCGTCGCGACTAAGAAATGTTGATGATGATCTCATGGGCCGGTGAATGGGCCCACCTCCATTCATCACACCTTCAAATTTTTAATTATTATTTCCCAAATAATTAATGCGTAAAGTCTGCTTATTAATTTTGTCCTTATCTGTAACTCGGCCTCCTTTCTCTCGCGGGGTCGACAATTCCTGTACACCAGATTTGGTGGGATTCTTCGCTCTTGTAATTACCGAGTTTGGTTATTATTACCACAGTGCTTCAGCGTTAAAACTGTTCCTGCTTGACTCTTTAGCGGTCAATCACGTTGCATCAATTAAAAATCGTGGATTTAGTGGCTTTGAAAAAACATATGTATATATTTTTAGTTTCCTCTCAATTTTAGTCAACAATAATGTTTGTTAAAAATTAATGCTCCAAAGCTGTCTATCTTTAAAGAAATATAAGTTGGAAGATTGTTTTTATTTTAAATTATATAATTATTAAACAAAATGGTCTAAATTATATAAAAAAATTTTAATTAAATCTGGACCATTTATTTGAATAGCCTAAATTAAGATGGGGCCGTAGTGATCGCTCCCGCCTTATAGCGCAACACATGGGTACAAATGCATATCCAACATTTCAACTCATTACATTTTGTGCTCAGGCTGAGGTCGCAAAAAAACAAAAGGTAATTAAGACTTACGCCAAAACTTGTCTGTGGTAAAATCTTTGGAGAATTGCTAATTTCTTTATCATTTTCCAAGGCATGGTGGATACGTCAACTAAGCGGGTCAATTATTCAACTGATAAAATATTTTGTAATTAATATCAATATTAATTATCGTACAGTATGCAATTTTTATGACCCTGCCCGGGGAATAAGTCAATAAGTCATAAACATTATGTTAACACGGTTCTGGATTTTGTTTCGGGAAGATATATAAATAAAAGATAATATTTACATCAAGTTTTTTATATTTATTATGTCAAGTTTTCTAATTATACATAATCAGGTGTTGTGTTTTTTAATATTAGCGTTTAATAACATTTAATTATAAATTCACACGAAATAAAAAAATGAACATATAACTATGTATGATTAGAAAATTTGATATAACTGATATAAAAAAACTTGAACTAAATTTTTTCGTCAATCAAAACTTCTCAAGAGAGTATTTCCTCTCATTGCGGAATTTCTCATTAATTACCATCCCCGTAACTTGTGGAGAACGCATTCAAAATTGAAATTTCTCAAGTGTGTTGTTTACAAAGCGGGTCAATTATTCAACTAATAAAATATTTTGTAATCAATATCAATATTGATTGTCGTACAGTATAAAATTTTTATGACTGTACCGTGGGGATAATTCAAAAGCATGATATGTTAACACAGTTCGGGATTTTGTTCGGGAAAGCTATATAGATAAAAGACAATACTTACATTAAATTTTTATATTTATTATGTCAAATTTTACAATGACATATAATTATATGTCATATTTTTAAAGTATTAATATTTAATAGTACTTAATTACAAATTCACAGGAAATAAAATAAAGGACATATAGTCATGTATTATGAGAGAACTTAACATAATCAATATAAGAAGAAACTTGACCAATTTTTTTTTTTATAAATAAAAACTTCTCAAGGGGGTATTTCCTCTCATTGCGGAATGTCTTATTAATTACCATCCTCGTGACTTTTGGAGAATGCATTCAAAACAGAAATTTCTCAAGTCTGTTGTCTACAAAGTTATTGTATTTTTTCAAGAAATAAAATTACCTTTTGAATTAATCGAACATAACTAAGTTATTGAGAGAAGACATTATTATTACTCTTCCGATTCTTAATATAAGACCTAATTATTCAGTTGATTTTAGTCTTAAATATAAGACCTATTTCTCATATTTATCGATTTTTTTCAAATTATCCCTATGGATACTCGTTCAACTATTATTAAGTAGAATAGGGAGAGGGGATATTAACGAAGATGATTATGATGTTTTAAAAAAAACATGACATATTTTTTATAATTAACTGACTTATTTAACTTTTTTAATCTAATCAAATTAATTAAATATGTTTTATATTAAGGACCAAAGGAGTATTATTGTCTTCCGGCTGTACACTTTAGTGCTATAAAACGAAACACTAAACAGGTGCTTGGACAAAGAAATTCCGTGTATTGTAAATGAATTTTCGTTTCAATAAACAAGAATTATATATAATTTTTCATAAACTTGTGTTCTTTCTTCTTCTTTTTTTTTTAAATCTTGCCTCTGGCATTCCAGCGCGGTTTATTCCTAGCTATTTGAAGAAAGATTATCACGATTATTATGATTCTAACGCTGTTGAAATACAGATTAGAAATCCTTGCACAAATTCATTTATTTGTTTTTGTTGGTTCTCTCTGTTCTGTGATACTCATTTGCCCCCCTGAACTGACTTTTTCGGGGATACCTTTAGATCCAACATTCGAAGACGATAGGCTTCCACGTGTCATGCGAGTCGGGGGAATAACAAGGACAGTCAAACACTTAACCTCCAATGAACTCACAAGTGCTTGGTATTACTCCCTCCGTTCCTTATTATAAGAGACACTTGATGCTTATGCCATGTTCCTATATATAAGAGACACTTACAAGTTGTCTCTACTTTTTTGTGTTGATTTACTATTTTACCCATATTTATTATCTCCAACTCACACTCTCTCTCCCTCCTACTTCTCTTTCTTTTAATAATTTAATTGTTCTCTCTCCTTATTAATGAGGACATTTTTGGAAAAAAAATTATACTTTTTATACATTAATTGTTCTTAACTAACTTTAACTATTTTTTTGATCAACGTACTTCGGTTATTTGTCTCTTATAATAAGGAACGGAGGGAGTACTATATTATAACAAGTCCTGATACATAGGTGTCATCAGAGAAGGACAAACTAAAATAAAGAACCATTAAAAAAAAAACCTACCAAATTATGAAGTTATTAATAATACTAATATACACCCATCCTTGGAGCTGAAAAACTAAGCTCATCACGGATGTACCACAAGGGAAGGAAATCATAAACCCTCTCCTTCTGCCCTGGTCGTGCTCTACCGCACATTCACTGCATCAAATGCATTCAATTAAGGTTTATAAAGAGACTACGAGGAAAATGAACTACTCAGAAACATGCTCGTGGTTTCTGGGATCAGAGGCCCACGGAGTATGAGCCAGCGATGCTGCTGCCAGTGGAAGCTCATGGATAACATGAACCCTGATCACAGCACAAGTCCAGAAATGAAGTTGAAGGAGATATTCAGTGCTCTGGGATTCACAGGTTGTGTGGTTTAAATATTCACAACCAGTAGGAATCCCAAGGAGAAACCTATGCAGAAAGAATTTAGTAGGGAAAATGAAGGGTGAGAGCACTGACTTGTCAAAAATAAAATTTTTTAGGGTGGAAGTTTCAATCTTGACCTTTCCAGAAGAAGGGTTTCACGGGACAAGAGGAGGAAGTGGAAGAATCTGATGGTCCTGTAATATCTTCTTGCTGCATGTGAGTATCTGCATTATTAGATTCTTGGTGATTGGGATTGAAAAAGGCAAGTTGCGACTGAAATGTGTCCAAATCATCCCACACAGGGCTACCGGGACCCCAACCCGCTGGAATTGCATTGAACCAAGCCGCCATTTCTCCCCAGACCAGTTCTTGCGACGCCGAAGTTCCCTCCCCTGTTCCAGCATTAGACGCAGCCTGTACTTCGTCGCTCATTGTAGCTTCACTTGACCCTATTCCAGAATCATTGTCGGTGCTCTCTTCCGGTGGCGGTCGCGAAGGCTTCTCCTCTGCAATCGGAGCTTCCGCAGTAAAACCTTCTGGAGCAGAGTTAGTTTGCTTCGACGTTGAACCTTGTTGACGAGTGGAGGGAGAAGAAGCAGATGAATCTGGGACTGTTGAGGATGGCTTGTCCTTATTGAGGAAAAGCTCGGGGAAATTGAGCCTAGCATTCTCTCCTCTCAACTTAAAGGCCTCGCGATCATAAGCCAAGGCGGCATCTTCAGCTGTGTCGAATGTTCCCAGCCAGAGGCGAGTCCTGTTGCGAGGAAGACGAATCTCAGCGACCCATTTTCCCCAATGACGTTGCCTCACCCCTCTGTAGAGCTTAGTAGTATTTATAGGCTGAGGAGGGGGCCTGTACAATGGCCTTCCGTCCGGCCCTACGCTGTTCATCATCATCATCATCATCCTCCCTCTTGGACTCAGATTCAACGGGTCTCTGCAATACTGAAGATGTTGCTGCTGTTGCTGATGATGATGTTGCTGGTGTGCGACTCCAGAGTCTTGGCCTAAGAACTGTGGGTACCCCATGTTTGGCTGTTGAGACCCAAAAGAAATCATCTGCTGCTGATTTTGCGTCCCGAGAAACTGTGGGCGAAACGCAGGCAAATTGGGAGAGCCAAATTGTTGATAGGGAAATTGCAGAGGCTGTTGAGAACCATCGAAGGCAAAAGGGAAGACGATTCTCGAAGACGAAGGAGGATGTGGTAGAATGGGAACGGAGGATTGATTTTGGTTTGAGTTTTCACGTTGGGGGCTTCGGCTTTTCTTCAGAGGCCTGTTCGACACGGAAGCATCCTCAAAAACTGGCTTCCATTGCCGCCTCTCACCGCTCAAGTCTACATCTTTACCCCTGCCAATCTCCCAATCTCGGCTTTCTCCACCACCCACGGTGGATTTGCCACTGTTACTCGCCGTGGCCATCCAGACACAATGATAGATTTCCGCTCGCTCTCTCGAGCTCAAAAGCAGAGCCTTTGAGTTTTATGCGCAATCAAGAAATGAGACGGGACGTCGTACAAACGCCTTAAAGAAGAAAGATTCGAATAAAGAAGAACAAAATCACAAAAGGGAATAACCCAGATTCAAGATATGGTCAAAGATTTAAAAACCAAAGTGATAATCCGATCAAATCAAAAACAGAATCGGATACCATCGACCCATCTCAAATCTATGGCAAACAGAGGACGGAAAAACCAAAGGAGAGAGCGAGCGGGAAACAGAGCGAGCGCAGAGGAAGTTGGAGGAGAGATATGAAGTAAACGTGGAGGCCAAAGCAGGGGAGATTCGGAGGACTGAGGCAGATCAGATTGTGTTGTGGTGAGAGAGGGAAGGAGGAGGGAAGGGGGGAGGAGAGGAATTTATATGAGAGGAGAACGAGGAAGGGGTTTAAATCAAACTTTTTGGAATAAAAGAGAGTATGTAGAAGCGTCGTTGCTGGTTGGCTGCAAGGGGACCCACACGGTTGGGCCTTTGATTGAGCTCTAATTTCTGTGAGCTCACCCACCCCAACTCCATGCCGCCGTCTCCCACCTGGAGAGAGCCAGAGATATTTGCAGGGAAGAGCTTTACAAATGGAGGAAAAGTAGAGGGCGAGGCAACGTGAGGTCGGGAACGCCACAGTGGCAAAACTGTTTGTGGTGGTGTCCGTACCATGGTGTGGCGAACAGGGATTCGTGATTTTATCTGCTCCAGATATTTTTTTCTCACTTCTCTGCCTGCCCCCAGCCTACCCTGTCCCTGTGTACCTGTGTATTTTTCCTTAAATTAGGTCCTAGGTTCCGTTTTCATTAAACCACTCTACTGTGCGCCCGCCCAGCATTATGAGCGCATTTATTAATGCGTGTTTGACGTTTTCGGAAGAATACGGACACAATAATCTTCACATATTCGCGTGGTATGAAAAAACCTCTATTCCACGGTTTTCTGAATCACTTGACACAAATTAAAAATAACAGTTACAATGAAGTAAACTTGCCAAATTTCTCAACAATTTCAATTAGCTAGTTTCAAAAATTAACATCAATTCCTCTCTCCACATCTCCCCAATATTTAGATCAATCCGATGAGAAAAACAGTAAATGAATTATCCGTAAGTATCATAAATATAAATGAATAGTGCCTCAGATAACATGGAAAAAGCCTGTATAAATAAGAACCATGAAAATCTCCAGGAAACGCCACTGTGATAAGGATAAGAGAGAGCATTTCACGGAAACTACCAAGTAAAATTTACAGGCTAGCTAGGATAACAGAGACATTAATTTTCTGCTTAAATTTTATTTACCAAGTCATTGACCATCACGGACGACGTGGATATATATATGTCGAAGAAAATTGACCCTGGGAAATAAATTTATTAAAGAGGGCAGAGAGTTTAATTAATCAGAGGCGTGAAGCTGAATGCCACCATCGTGTAGCCTCGTAGAGTCGATTTCATCAAAGAGAAATGTTGCTCATAGTACTGTGGAGGATGGATGGTGTTGATTAAACTGATGATATGGCTTTTTGCAGAGAGTGAAGGAGGGGGGAAACAAACACCATCCTAATCCTATATATGTTGGGGTTGCCTGTCTGCCTGTGCGTCTTTAAGGGTCTCGAATGATCGATCTTAAAAGAAAGGAAAAGCAGGGGGGCAGGCAAGACATAGCAGAACAAAGCTCCAAAAAACTTGGGTCGGGAGCACAACTTTTGATTAGGTCGGGAGCATGCATGTTTGATTCATAACACTCTCAATTATGGATCCCTCGTGCCGCCCCTGTTTCCTAACCACATCCACATCTCTCCAATCCTAAACCTTCATTTGATCTTCTCTGCTACCTGCTTGCTACGCTAACCTCACGACCTGCCCTCCTTCATCTCCCCAAACACTCCATTTTTACTGTAGGGCCGGTTAGTGCCGTGATGATAATTCAGAGCCCCATGCAACCACGTACAATTTGAGGTCACAAATGCATCCCTTTAATTTAACAGCTCACAGCCTCATCTGCAAGATCTCCCTGATTGTATACACAGGGAGGCTAAAATTAATAATATTCTTTCTCAGCGGAAACAAGGTCTGGCTGTAATGTTGGAATGGAAGGGAGCTTCATCCTAGTACGTGCTAATTGGTACTCCGACTCCGAGGCTAGTTGCCAAGAATAAGAAATGCTATATCCCTTTTCTCACGCCCCCCTCCCTATGTTAACATGTAATGACGAGTTATAGTGTTAGTAATGATAACAGGCCCCATATTACTGCTTATTACGTTCTTTTCTTAACATGTTAATTATAATGGTTATCCATATTTTCAACTGATGGCAAGGGAAATAAATTATTATAATTGTGTTTATCATTTAATAATTACCGACTCCATTCATAATATATGCAGACTTTTTATTTTGTTTACAAACAATTGTTGCTTTTAAAAAAAAAATCAATGGCTCGCACAGGTTTTGCCGCATCATATCTTATTTATCCATTCAACTGTTATCTTTGTCTTCTTTTATAACATTTAACGTAATTAATTTAAAAAATGAATGCATATTAACTTAAATTAACAAAGGTATATAGAAATAAAATGGTGAAAGTAGAGGGGAGGTCATGGTTACTCCTCGTTTCGGCCATTATGAAGTTTTTCATGCATGTTAATCATACGTACAGAGCTCAAAGTTGAATCCTCTCCAAAGCTGTCATCTGCAATTTTTGATTTTTTAAAAAAGTTTTTTTTTTCTGGGTCTCGGGTTAAGCAAAATTGGCACAAAGATCATAAATTAAAGGTAGACAGTTTTTTGGGTGGTGAACAAAAACTGAAAGCCTAAAAGGGAGTGATGATAATGTGCATATTAAATTAAAATTTCAAGATGATGTTAAAAAAAAAAAGAAGAATTAGATCTGGGGGGCCATAGTTAAGGGGATAGGAATGAATTTGATGATAAAAAATAGAGGGTCGATATGATGAGAAGGAGTAAATTAAAAGAGAATAAGAATGGGAGGTAAAGGTGGAGAGGAAGGGATTAGAGGGGGTGGCGTGTAAGGAAGAGGGAGGGGAGGGATTTGTGAGGGAGAAGGGAGCCACGTAGCGAAAGGAGAGGGTGACTTTCGGTGAGAGGGGGGGCTCAGAGGTGAGCAAAGGGGGAATGTGTATCCGAGGGATATCAGATATGCGCCTTTGTCGTTATAAAGTCAACACCATACCGGTGTCTGGTCGGTGTTCTTTCGTCACGTGTCGGCGGTCCACCTCCCCCGCCCCCCATCATTTTGTCCTTCTTCCCCCTCTCCTATTCTCTCTCTTTCTTTTTTTCCTTTCAAATTCTTTTAATTCAATTGTGAATTGAACCCCGCTTCATATAATACTTCTTTATATTCATATATATATATATATATCTTTGATCTTAATTATAAGATTTTATTTGTACTAAATCTTATAATTATAACATGAGGTAGTATATTACTAGTATTATTATTTATTATTATTTGTTCCCATCCTACGCCGTGGCCTCTGCCCTTGCTCAATTTCGTCCACTCAAAAAATATCACACGCCCCCTTGATTTGATATTCTTCTCTCGCATGCTTCACCAACATCAACCTTCTCCCTCATTCTGTCTCTCCCATCACGTCCCCCCACATTTTTTTCCCCTCTTTTCCTTCTTTTTTTCCCCCAAAGCATAAGATTGAAATAACCACCATCTGTAATTATTTTCTTCATTAATATGTTTTTCTTACAGTTTTCACTTTGCTTTTATTTGGCATTACTAGCTTGTTTTAGGCTGAAAAATAGTAAATAAAGGTATGACTATTATGTTTATAAATATTAATTAAAAGTGGAAAAAATCATAAATATGCATTTTTTACAATGTACTCGCAGTTTTTTGTTTATTAAATTTGTGCATTTTCTATTGATTAAATATACATATATTTATTATGTAATATGAGTAATAAATACTACTTTAAGATTATCTCGTTTACGATAAATATAATGACATCTTTTTGGGCTGTAGGCGTGAAATATTTAAGCCATTCTGCGATCTTAAAATAAAGGAACCTATTTTCACACAAGCGAGGGGGGAAAAAAGAATAAAGCAACCTATGTTTTTTCCCAAAAAAGAAATATATGACGTGGAGTATTGGATTAGCTTGCACGTGTCAGAATTGACAAAATAAGAGGGGTGATTTACCTGATCAGATTTAATATGCAGGATGGTTCCGTCTTTTTGTGGGGGTCAAAATATCCGCTGCCCCTCGATCATTCTCTCTCAAAATATCTGCGCATATAATATTAATATGTAGCCGCTTCACAGGCTGTGGTGGTGTCCCAACTCCCCATCTGAATAAAATATTAGTATATATGATAAGGTTTTAAATGCCGAGACACCCACGACACACTAACAAATCACGTTTATGAAATCCCTATTTCTTTTGCATTCAATTATGCTAATTGAAAAAGTATAAAATCACGTTCGAAAAGGAATTTTATTTTCCCCCATGCTTTTCCGTGACCGCCTCCAGGGCTGCCCTTGCACCACAAGTTCATTACACAAATCAAATTTTTGAGACAGAGTGGATGAATTATATATATATATATATATATAAATTCATTGAAATGAATACGCCAAAATTATAGATATATAGATATAGAGAGAGAGAGAGAGAGTTGGAGGGGGAAGACGCCAGGAAGAAGGAATTTAGGATGAGAAGAAGGACTGAAGGAGGAGGAACGGAGATTCTGTTAAAAGAAGCATGGTTGAGTAGCAACGATCGGTGAAAAGATTCAAAGTGGGCAATAACAAAGCTTTCCTTTGAAGTGGGACGACTCCTTCATTGGACGCGTGGCCGCCGTTCGCTGTATCCTTTGACTATATGCGGCCATGATAATGGGAGACCCATTATACCTTATATAGATATACACAGTACACTCTCCACCATTCAACTCCTGCCAGACAAATCGGGGGGTCTCTTTCATCCCACAAATGCTACTTCTCTAGCCATTCACCACTCACAATTACTTCTACCAACTCAACTCATGCACCAGCATGTCAGGTCAATCCATTAACTCCATTCTCTCTTTTTGACATTTCCTCTCACAGTTTCACACTCCATCACTAAAACGTGCATATCCACCTCTCTTACTTCTTAAAAAGAAAAGAAAACATCTGTCTCAAACTATATTTTATATTAATTAAGGACTGGAAGCAGTATATTAATATATCTTTTTTTTTTCCCTGTGAAATGATTCCCAGCAGTTGCTGAAAATTATGATGGCTCCTGTACAGAAGGCGCGCCCGGATAAGAGGGAATATGCAACACTTGAAATGGAAATTTCCTTAATTAATTAAAGAAAAGGAAATTTCCTCGAGGCTTAAACAGGGGAAGAGTGGACTTTGATTCATGGTGGAGGTAGATTCCTACTAGTTACGTTTCTATATGTTTTGATGAGCAAAGTTATTGGGTGTCATAGTGGGCATAGCGTACGAGAATATATAGAGAGGCCAGGTCAGGTCAACTCCTTTATGGAAGCCAAGTGCCCACAACATGGCGCCCCATATCAAACATATTCAATATATAGAAAAAGTTTCCGTGTGTGAATAGTCATGTTTACTTTAGTTCATTTTATTAAAATAAGTGATCAAAGTACAGTCTTTACATTAGTTAATCCCTATATCGTCAATTCATTCTCATCATATTTAATATTATCCATCCATTTGATCACATTTCGGCGTCTTTCTTCCTGATCTTTTATGTGGCAGATTTACTTTAATTACTAGTGATTTATAAAAAATTGAGTGGTTGGTACACGCAAATTATTATTATTATTATTATTTTCATCTGAGGAAAGTGACCGTTATCTTGGAGCTCTCCATTCTTTGCCGCAACCCTACAAGCATAGAAAGATGATCACTGTCTGTCCAATACAGCACGGGCACGTGTTCGTGCGTTTTGAAGTGGTTGTACACTGAACCAACTTCCTTAATTAGCTTCATCAGGGGCTTCATAATAGTGGAGGAATCAAGGGATTGGCTGAGAATTGGGCACATCAAGGTGTTAGTTGGCCATTGGCACAAACATAAGTATCCTCGAAGCACAAGTGTTCAGAATGGTAAAAGGTTTGGAATAATGTCTGCCTGAGGTTCACTCTCCTTTGCTCGATATATTTGAATTTACAAACACATTATGGTAATAATCATTGTTGGCCCATCTATAATGCTAATTCCAATGTCAAAGCATTTCTCTTCTCAAGGTATTTGCATTGATTGATTAGACACTAATCTCTTAAGGTGGTCCACCTTCTTAACAAGGATATGATCAGTGAGTGGGTGAACTATAATATATCTTGATGACTCCTATTATAAGAATGACTTTGGTTTCTGCTTTGGGTTTAGTATTTAAAAATGGAAGATGGTTGGTGCAACTGGTCCCATGTTGCCTTGATTATAATGAAATTATTCACATTCATTACTCAAGATATGATATTATATTACTCATACTTGCTGATCAAGTATTAGCTGGACATCATTTAATTTCTTAGGCTATAGGCATATATGGAAGTGTTTGAATATGTCTTGTTTTGTTCCCCCATTTGATTTTGACTTCTTTTTCCTCAATGATGGGGAATACTTGCATTCCATTCTTGCATTATATTATATTATGGATTTAGACAGCACATAATTTCTTCCTTTTTTTAATTAATGTTTGATCCTATCCAAACAAAACGAGCTAGGAACAATGTCTACTCACATCAAGAACATGGTGATCAAGAATAATCCTGTGGCCTATGACAAATTCTTAGACTTTCATTTTTATTTTCTATTATTGGGAGTTGAAACTTGTGTTTTAATTTACCAGCAGCCATATTAACGCTGTTTGCTGCTGATTCTGCTGTTCACTTTCAGAAAAACAATGTTATTCCTTCTGTAGTTGTAATGAATATTGCTTCATTTGCTCCTTGTTTCAGGCTTCTAGTCTTCTACATTAATTATCCTATATTATCATAAGCTTACATTTTCAGGACAAGAAATTAGAAGCGTTTCTTAATGAGAAGAAACAGATATTTCTTTCACTATGACCTTGTTTTATACTTTAGCAAAACTCAATCCACGTGAAACACAATTTACAGGGCAGATAAGTCCTGCATTGAAACTTTTCTTTTACTTCACTCAAATTCATGTACTACTTTAAAATATCAATCTTGAGTTTCCAGTATCCATTCTCATTCGAATTTCTCAAGCAGCTCAGTAATCAGAAGAGAAGCGAGATATAGGTGTTATCTTCCCATATTGCTGCTGGAAATAATAGTCATTACAATCATCTGGCGATGAATATCAAAGAATCTGGAAGAAAAAAGTTATCCATAGATAGCCTCAAAGAAAGATACTTACATGAGTAACAAAAGAATTTGAATGACAAATTCAGTATACCCCCAGCACTACGTCACTAGAAGGTTGGCTACAGAAATTTTTTTTGTCCAGACGTTCTCTCTTGAGAGCAGAGAACTTGGCGGCTAAATCGTCATAGTCAGGCAACTTGGGATGAACATGCTTGGGATGAGGAGGACATGCATATGTCCTTAACATCTTATCTTTGCAGTTTTTGACAACCTCAGATGAAACTAACCTGCCCATGTGCTCAGAGGCCTCTGCCTTTGTTTTGTTTTCCTCTTCATTGTTGCAATCTGGGTAGGTGAATGCATTATACACGGCCACACCTCTGTCACTTCTATCTAATCCCTGAGGCTCGTATGCATTTTCATTCCAATGGAAACATTCGCTAAGCGAAACTTGTTGAGTATTTTCAATCATAACGGCTCTCTTTGAAAAAAGCCCCGACCCCGAACCCAAATCACCATCATAAGCACAAAAGTAACAAGGATGATCCAAACTGCAGCCACTCATTTTAGGAATGAAAGATGGTCTTCTCTTTGTTTTTTCCGAGGAGCTGTGTTGCTTCAATCTCTTTGAATCGTAACTCGATTGTGGAATACCTTCGAGTAAAAGCTTCTGGTGTTTTCTTCTGGAATGCGCAGCACGCTTGTGGTCAGCAGAGGGACTTCTGTTGGGCTTATGATAATATAACATGCATCCAATATCGATTATGCCTTGGTTTTCAAGTGAAACTGATCTCCTTGTTCTTTTCTGAGGTTCCCTCTTAACTTCACTGTTATCTTCGTTTCCTTTCACCTGAACAAAGCAGTTACGGTACTTTGAAAATATTAAACGAGATAGGTTATTATTACTTGCTGATATATCACAATGAACGTGGTACAATAGAATTACCCGTCCTTTTTGCCAGTCAGGGTAATACTCAATAGCTAAAAGCTTTGGTTGGAGGCAGTAGTCCCTAGATATTTCATCCACCATTCTGTACTTGAAATCATCGGACACAGACTTCACTGAGAGGTTTTCTTTCAACTGTCAAATTTGAAACTTGATTAACATAAACGCACATTTGCTGGAAGAGGGATGACATCAAAGTTGGGAGTTGTTTTAGTACTATACGAAACCTGATGGTTTACTAGGTTTCCAGGAAACAGTTCAACAGCAGCCGTTGCAAATTTCTCGCCATAACGCTGTCCAAAGAGCTTCCTGATGACAGAGAGTTCGGGAACATCCCCACATCTTGCCGAGGCAAATATAACACTAGACACTGCTTCGTTAATGTCATTTGGAATGTCCCTAATATTGGAAACTGCAAACATTATATCAATGTCTTTCATAGAGAGGCAGGGTAGCTGGAAAATGCTAGGGATTCACGCATACTTGTGCCTCCTGATATAGGAGAGTTGAGTAAGAATAAATTCGCAAAAGTAATCCAACAATTCATATGCAGCGGCTAAGCTTTCATATTGAATGACCTGTTCAACCTGAAAGTTTGAGAGTAGTTATTTATGAAGTTTAAGGCCGCAAAATGAGATGCTCAATGCAATCGATGTTTAATATTGGTATAATATAGCAACCCGGAAAACATCAATGATAAGTCACTAAATATCTTTTGATAGATCGTATCTTGATATTACAGTATGCATAGTTTTGGACTTCAAGGATTCAGGGCATACATGGTTGCCAGCATTACGTTGGCGGCCATTCTTAATGAGCTCTGCCACGTCTTGGCGTATCAGCCTCGCTGTCACAAGCCTCCTGTTCTTCAGCAGCTTGAGGCGGCACCGAGCTTTTTTGATCAGCTTCTTACTACAATTTAATGAAGTGAAACGGGAAAAAAAGGGAAGGATATGAAATTACGATTAGCAGTAGAGAAGGAAAGCACATGATTGCATCTGTCATGGAAATAAATATGAAGTTTTGAACTGAAACTAGTGGCTACAAACTAAAACTAGTTACCATTTGGAAGCTTTTGACCACCCAAACAGGAAGTCAAACATGTCTATATTAGGATCGCGGTTCCTGGTTTCATAAAGCAAAAACAAGCGTTCGAGTTGAGGCAGAGGCGGGTGTTGCAGAAAAAGAAATGGAAGAGTAAGGAGAACAACCATGAGAAATGGCGTCCCGTATCGTGGAAATGGCATTGAGAGTGGGAGTGAACGAAGGCTACATCTCCTTGAAAAACTGCTCCACTACACTGGATTTTAGGAAAATTTAGAAGATGCGTGCGTTTTTTAATTCCAAAATACGGAACAATTTAAGTAAACTTTCATTAAGCTACTCGACCGATCGAATATATTTGATTTAATTTAATCTTTTGTTATAAATCAATCTAGGAATAAACATTTCTTTGGACTTTTTTTTTCTTTATTTTTGGAGGGAAAGAAAGTAAGTTTTCAAAGTTAACTATGCATGATTTTCTTGTTCAAGTTACCGATTTCTTTGCGTGCCAACAGTAAAGCATTTTCTTCTTTCTTTTTGGCCAAAAAAAAGTATTTTCGTTTAATGATTTGAAAAGTTGGAGGAAAAACTGATGATAAGAATATACTCCTCTATTTTCTTTTGTGGAAAAAGAAAAAAAGAGTTTGGGAAGCTACGTACAACTCAAATGAAACAAAATGAAAGTAAATGTGAAAATAAAATTATAAATTATTAAACTACGACTAAACAAAATAAAATTGACAAAAAAAATTAAGATTGCGTTATAAAAATACATATTTGTAATAAATAAAAGATGAATTTTTCGAAGTAAACTTTGATACATATATTGAGAAATGGATTAAAATATTTAATTGATTAAGTCACTAAGTATTATTGGAAAGAGCTTTAAAACGGATCGTGAAAGAATTTCACTCAGTTAATGGCTAAAAAATATCTTATCACATAATATATATATAAGCAAGCATGTATCTGTATGCTACATCAATAAATGTTAATAGTAATTATTGATATATATATAAATATATATATATATAATGCATTATTTTTCTATGTCTGGACGTAGCTGTACTTTAAACGCAATAAGCCTAGCTATAGGCCGGATATAGCTGCGTTGGCGATTTGCCTATCAGTTTTCCTCAGCGTTTCCCTGGCTATCTGTCTCAGGTGTTCCTCGGGTGATTCTGCGTTCGTTTTCTCAATCTCTTACCTCTTACTTCTTCCTCCAACTTCCGCAGATCTTGTTCAGTATTCTACCAGATCTCTCGCTCCCAAAACTTTACTTCTTTCTGTATCACTCATGTAAAGCTATGCATGTGTAGAAATTAGGTGAGGATAAAGACATGGAAATTATTCTCACTGCTGTTTCACAACACGTTGCTCCGCCAACACTACGTTTAAGCACCCAACTCGGAATAGGCTGGTCTGTGTCCGTAAACGTAAAGTGCAAATACATTGTGGACATAAAACAGACAGACGAAGAATTTCTTGCGTAGTTGAATATGTCTCCGTCTTGTGTTAATACAATGATCGCGCGCCTTCAAGAGTTCATTAATTCAAACTTCTATAAATTTTCTTCATTTTTTGAAATGTTTTAATTTAGTTCAACTTAATTATCTGGGAAAACATATTAATTGTTTAGATTAAACAGACGGCGAATTTCATGCAAGTTCTTATAGTTTACCTAAGTTCCCTTTGCAGAAGGGTTTTCTTCTATATATTCAAAAAGTCAAAGAATAGCTCTTTATACATATAGCTCTTATGCCTCGTTTTTACAAAACAGGAATCAGAATGAAACAATTTCCCCCCTTTTTTTAATATCACCTGATTCAGCCACCTTCTCACAAGAATGCATAACGTGCATGGCTAATGATTGTTATAACTATGATTAATGATGGGGAGGAAGCTAGGTACGTAGCCTCACTTCTATTGGGCATCAGTCTCTATTTCATGTGCTACTTCCACGCTTAGTCTGTCAGCCCGATCATCTTGTCCACCTGCAAAGCTATAAACCCGAAATGCAAGCTGAAAGGCCCTCCAAAGCATTTTAAAGCTGCTCTTTCTATTACTTTGATTTCTGCCCCCGGATTCACTAGGCGCTGTCTCTCTAACTTCCTGATGCAAATTAACATGCATCCTACTACACGTTAAACTCTTTGTTTGAAATAATCGGTGACTGATTAAATATATATCATATTGAATTAGTGTTGTTTATTTTTTTTTTCCTGTTTTACCTTGAGGGCCAACTCCATGCAGCCTGAAGAAACATCGACCAAAGACTCTTTGATATTTACCAGAATGCCAAAATCAAAGTGTATATTGTTGCTCTGAAATTTTTTAGCTTCTTCATCTTTTGATCTTTCCAACGCATCCAATTCGCCTTTGATCTGTCCAGCATCATAAATGTCGTCGATCAGGTCCCCTCCAATGTGTTAAGAGTTAAATGGTGCGAAATTACTGGCGTTTAAAAGAGTTCACCTTGTTGAAGTAGGATTCAACTTTGCTGAGGAGCTGCTCCACTGGAGGCATTATTTTCCAAGTCTGTAGGTCGGCAAGGATCCCATTCAACTTCAAATACAAAGCTGCTGCAGCCCTCAGTGATTCAAGTTTTTTCATGGGAAATCCCTCAAACCTTGATAATACCTGCATCACCAAAAGCCCCGCGTCTTTTCAATTCTTTCACTTTCTGCCGCCCTCCAAATATGGGGGAAATTATATGGATAAACTTTTTTCTTCTCAGCATTTATGGATTATATTGATAGTTTCAGCAGGTCAAGCATTTGAAGGGGACAAATTAAACTGGAATAATTAAATAAAATATAACCTGAGTTTCATCAGTCAAGTTCTCCAGGTTCTGCTCCACGTGCTTTTGAAATTTGATAAGCTCATCCATGTCCTTTGTTTGGAAGGAAGCGATCCCAGCTTTAAGTTCCAATATTAATTTTTCATGCTTCACCACATCTTCCTCAATCTTTTTGAAATATGATGATCTAAAGTCAAATAGAATGAAGCAAAGTGATAACAAGTTACAAGGGGTGAAAGTTCCAGTTTGGCAGCATAAATATTTTAAGAATATAATAAATGAATGAAGATAATTGTTATTATAGACCTTTTCGTTATCTCTGTTAATGCTTCAGCCATCCCTTGTTTCCCCGTAGGACATGCCCCGAGTTTGGATTTTATCTGCGGCGAGGTTCCATTTCCAACCTTTAAACTAGAGCCTTCAACTTTACCTCTCAGATGCCTGTACAAAGCGCTCATTTGGCTTGACCTCTTTAGTTTTGAAGCTGCTCTCTTTAAGCGCACGATCTTTACCAAATTAAGCGGAGAAGGGGGTGGTGTCGGCGCTCCTCCCTTAGTCGTTGCCATGGGAGGTGGTGGTGGAGGTGGAGGTGGTGCTCCCTTAGTCATTGCCATGGGAGGTGGCGGCGGTGGTATTGCTTCTGATCCTTTAGAAAGTGGAATCGGTGGTGAAGATGATATTGCCGCTACAGGTCTAGGTGGAGGAGGTGGTGCTGGAGGCGGGAGGATTGCTGCTGGATGTGTTGCCTCGGGCTCTTTACTCGCTTCATGTTTTGGAACTTCTGAATCATCACTTTTATTACTATTGAAATGTTCTTTCAGCCCCTCAAAGCCTGGTTTCTCGGGTCCTTCTTCGGGTTGGTCTGTTGCAGTTATCTGGGTAGCTATCTCACGAGCTTCATCGACGACACTGGAATCGTGTTGTGGTTTATCACTTGGGAAAAGGTTGAATTGCTCCAAATTTTCAATCTCTTCATTACGAAGGGGACCAATATGGGTTTGAGAGGAAGAAACATCATAAGTCTCTTCAAGGACCACAGTAGGGTCGCGCTTGGGGGAGATTGAAGGTGAGGCATCTGGATATTGAGAAGAGACATCGTTCCTTGAATAGATATCAGTTAATGTGCTCTTGATTTTCCGGCAACTTTCTACATTCCCGGTGTCCTCGTCTTCATCCATCACACTAAACATCTCTTTTGCTGATGCAGTTAAGAATGTGAGGTTGGCCATGAGTTTGCCAGCTTCAATGCATATTATTTATCAAGAGTCCATTAGACAGCTAGCTAAATTTTCTCCATTCAATTTATAAGGAATAAAAAGTTTTCTTACCAAGTTGATCGAACTCAATATTCTGCAGGCTCTCTTGTGCTCCATCCATAGAGTTGGTTAAGCCCCATAGTTTGCCAATAGACTTCAATGCAATGTAAAGACATACTAAACCCTGTTCACACATTCCGATTAAGTGCCGCGCATTATTATAACGAAGCAATATTAGAGTCATGCAGATCAATATGTGATAGTGAACCGCAACCTGAGTCACTGATTCTTCATTGGTTGCTGTGGAGAGATCGACACGAACCATATTTGGGTACAGCTTGTGGAGATCTACTATGGTTCTAACAGCCAACTGCAACAAAAAACATAACAGGCATATGGATCTCTGGAGTCAGAAAATATTGTTGGCCAGTTGTGGAGTGGGAAATTTAACCCTACTTAAACTTCAATTATCGTCTTATAGAAAGATTTTCCAGTACATGAGTAAGATCACTCGAGTTATTGTAGGATGGAAGTTCGAGGATGTCTCTGAAAGTTAATATCTTGTTCTTCAGCTCCATAGTCAGCATTGAACATTCTAACCCTCCACCTGATTCATCCACCGTCATGGTGTCTGTATCTTTCTTGAAGTTCTGCAGCCCGTGTTTCTACAGTAAGAAAGCAGGCAAAAATCAGTGGACAAATTAATACAAGATCTGAAGCCCATGTTCTTCTTGATATTCGGCAGCAGCGCATTAAAATGATATATAACAGTGTTGAGCGATCAATTAGCCGACCTGAAATCCTTTAAAAGGGGAACGCTCAAACAAGGGTTCTTCCATAAGTAATGAAGGTGCCATCTTTCGACGATTATGACAATACAAATATAACTGCCGGATGGAGTTATGCGAAATCCACGACCGATCAAGCCACCATCTTCTTGTCCAACAATGAAGAATATAAGTTAAAGTTATCAGTGAGAGTATGAAGGTGACGTTTTTGAAGAACGGTGACGCGTGGAAGTGGAAACAATGGAGAGAAGAATGTAAATTTTCCAGATAAACCAGCAATGAAAAATTCATTAATAGAACACGAGAAATTAGATAAAAAGCAGTCAATCCAGGACCGGCATCGGCACCACCCCCTCCTTCTCCACCGGCTCCACCACCGGGGATAGCTGTGCGAGGTTCCGATGACTTATTACGGTCAACCTACGACTTGCCTGAATTTTCGGAGTCCAAGTGTGCTAAAAGGCCGCCACTTGTACAAATGCCCGAATCTATAAACACGAAGCAAAATAGAAAGTGGTTTCCTGCCATGCAGTGTCGTTTGTTAGTTATTTAATTAAACTATACATGTACGGAAAGCCAGGGCCATCCATTTACATTCTCTGGCAGCTAAATAATGATAAGCTAGGAAGTGTACGTCAACAATATTGCGAACAATTCCATTAAAAAAAAAAAAGAATATTGCGAACATAGTACTTTTTTACTCATATATGATGAACAGTAAAAAAATTTACTCAAATATAATAAAATCAAAACTATTTACTAAGATACTTCACCTGAAATCGTTCATACCGTGAACGACTTTAAACTTGTACAGAACTCGTTCTTGGTCTGAACAACTTCAGTGGAGCTCACATCAAAAAACAAAAGTTGTTCTTGGTCTGAACCAGTGTTTTTAAAGTCGAACCAAATATCAAACCGGAAAGGTCAACGGGTCATGGTTCAAACGGTCAGATCGATTGAACCGTCTGGTCAGACATATAACATAATAATTAAATAAAAATAATATTATATAAACATATGATAACATATGTGTGTAAAAAAATCAAAAATCAAATTGTTAGATAATTTGAAAATATAAGTATGTAGTTCAATTTCATCATTTTAGTAGCAATTCAACCCATCATAGTTAAAATATTATCAATGTTACGCTAATTAATTTTAATATAGATGAAAACTGATTCTAATTTATCTTTAAATAAACCAAGAATTAGTTTACAGTTTATTTAATGTCACTTTTGTAATTGTGATGAAATATATTAAAAAATATGTATTTAAAAAATTATTCAGAAAAAATAGTTAAAAAAAAAAGAGATGAAAATATATAATGTAAACTAAGGTGATCAAATAGTTATCTATTTTTTGAAAAAATAGTAATTTAAAAAGTCAAAAAATAAAAAAAGTTGATGACTTGGAAAATAATCATCATCATCATCAAATATACGTTTATTATTTTTGCCAACTATAAAATATGCATTTATAATTACGTTGAGATTTGTTATATGACATGTTTTATATTTAAAAAATACTCATAAAAAATAAAAATCAAAAGTAAAATGTGCAAAGTCTTGTCAATACACGTTTTACCACAAGTTTGCAACATTTAAAGTTATCTTCCCTTCCCTCTGTGAGCCGATCAGACGCTTTCCCTTGAGCAGCTGAGCTGTCCACTTTTTGTAACTATTTTCTTCTTCACTCCCACAATGCAGGCCACTGAATTTCGCAAGGTCTAAAACGGCATGGATGGAAGTTGCAACTTGCATCTATGGAGAAAGAAGGAAAAGAAAATGCTATTGGTAAATTTTATTAATTTTTGTTCTTCGTCTTTATTATCATCTCCATCCCCTTTTCTTTTTTCTTCTTCATCGTTGTTATTTTTGCCATAACACCACCACGGACCCGTGGAGAAAGACGAACAAGGGAGAAAATGTGTCGGCTTGACGGTAGAAAAAAGACGAAGCAAGTGGTGAGCAACAGAAATTTCAGACTCGTCCAGTTTTCTTGAAGCCGCTCCGGCTTCCGGCTTTAATATGGATTCCAGCTCAAATGCCGGTTCAGGATGACCTAAAGCGGTCCAATCCTTTGAACGGTTAAAACATCCCAACCGAGCTAGGAAGATGAACGGGTGACGGTTGGACCAGTCTGACCGTCCGGTCCGGTTCGGCTTTCAAACTATTGGTCTGAACAATTTCAGTGGGGCCTGCATCGCGAAATGAAAGTTGTTCTTGGTCTGAACAACTTCAGTGGGGCCCACAATCTATATTTATCTTATGCTCAACGTGAAATTGCTTCCTTCCATGCCTTCTCAATTTTCATTTGACTAGACCATACTTTTGTTTTTTCCTGCCACACACAAAAGTCACTCAGGGAGTAGTCTTTCATTGTTTGTAGCTCAACTCACGCGTAAGGATTCCCATCGGTATAAGACTCAAGGAGTGGTCATTCATTGTTTTCAGCTTTGTTTTGGCATGTAAGTGCAAAGTGTAATTTTAGTCTATATAAGGGCATTCGACATTCCCATTCCATTTGTCTTCTCATCACTTCTCAAATTGTTTTTAAACTTGACGGATTCCTTCCATTCTTCTTTCTCCTTCCACACATTTCATGTGAAGTAAGTGGTGTGTGTGGTCTTGCAATTGTATACATTTTAGAAATTAGAGGTTGAAAGGAATATAATTATTCTTTGACTAGCACATAAAGGTAAATTTAAATTGAATAATAATAAGGTTATAATAAATGTACTTGTGTAATTTTACATTAGGTACCGTTTAAGTGACCCAAAAAATCATCCTTATGATTGAAAATAAAAATAAATGTTAATAACCATTTCACATTAGTTATTTAAAAATTATAATTATTTAATATGACAAAATAATTAGCTATTGCTCTTGAGTAATTTTTTTAAATTTATATTTTATTATTTGGTTTCCCTAAATAATTATAATTTTTATTATTATCTTTAATACTCTCTAATTTCCCCCAAAAATTAAATAAAAAAACTCCTCACTTTCATTATTATTAATCCCACTATCAGTACTCTTTTTATCAGGAAAATTTGGACACCATTTAGTGCTAGTTTTCACCAGATACATATTTAATCTGACTATATATTTACTCAAACACTATCTACTAAAAAAACAGTTATATATTTAATCAAATTATAAAAAAGTAAACTACAATTTATTTTACATGACAATTAATCATATGTCTATATTTTTTAATTAAAACAAACTCAACATGTAAAAATGACTAATATAAAATTTTTATCCATCATTTAGCCGAGTACATACCAAAAATTTTAAAAAAATTAATCAAGAGAATGTACCTTATTTAAAAGAAAAATCAAACTTCAAGTTAAGATAAAACGTATACAATTGCAAGACTGCACACACCACCTATTTCACACGAAAGTGTGGAAGGAGAAAGAAGAATGGAAGGAATCGGCCAAGTTTAATAACAATTTAAGAAGTGATGAGAAAGTAGATGGAGTGGAAATATCAAATGCCATTATATAAACCAAAATTACACTATGTATTATATTTTCACGCCAAAACAAAGTTGAAGACAATGAATGACACCTCCTTGAGTCCTATATTGATGGGAATATGTAGAGAAGGAATCCTTACGCGTGAGCTGAGCTTCAAACAATGAAAGACTACTCATTGAGTAACTTTGCGTGTGGCAGGAAAAAAAAAAGGTCAAATGAAAATTGAAAAGGTATGGAAGGAAGCAATTTCACATGAAGCATAAGACAAATATGGATTAGAGCTGGTAATATGGGTTGAACCCGCGGGTTCAACCTGCCAACCCGCCAAAAATGGCGGGTTAGGGTTGGCCAAAAACCAACCCGCCAATAAACGAGCCTTTTTAACCCGCACCGCCAGGCCCGCAACCCGCCGCGGGTTAGCCCGCCAACCCTGCGGGCTAACCTGCATTTATTTTTTAAATTTTTTTAATTATTATAATTATATTATATATATCTAAAAAAATATTAAAAAATACTTATATAATTTATTTGGTACTTTTGATCAAATATTTCAAGAAAAAACAAAAAGTTTATTATTATTTTTAAATATTATATAAGAAAAAAATATTAAAAAGTAAAAAAAATATTTTAATAAATAAATAAATAAATGTTGGCGGGTCGGCGGGCTAACCCACCAACCCACCTTGGCGGGTTAGGGTTGGCTAAAAGCCAACCCGCCTTCAAACGAGCCTTCTCAGCCCGACCCGCCATGGGTTCAACCCGCCACGGGCCAACCCGCAACCCAGGTTGGCCCGTATTACCAGCCCTAATATGGATTGTGGGTCTCACTGAAGTTGTTCAGACTAAGAATAATTTTCATTTCGTGATGTGGGCCCCACTGAAATTGTTCAGACCAAGAATAACTTTCATTTTCTGATGTGAGCCCCACTGAAGTTGTTCAAACTAAGAACGAGTTATGTACAAATTTAAATTCATTCACGGTCTAAACGATTTTGTGTAGTATCTTGATAAATAGTTTTGATCTTATAAGTAAATTTTTTTACTGTTCATCGTATATGAGTAAAAAAGCTAGTACTTGTGTCATTGCGTTGTGGGGCCCCAGCTTTATTCTTGCTAATTCTTATTATTGTTTAAGGCCTAACTGGCTTCTTGATCCAAATAGCGCTGAGTCACCAATCTTACATATCAGAGTCAGATTAAAGGGGCCAGACAGAGTTAATTTAATTAATAAATTTCAAAGTCGATTTACTTTAGCACATCCCGCGGGGAAAAACAAATATATTCAGCACTTAATTTCTGTCATATGCTACTGTCGCATGCTCAAAATGACGCCCAATGAGAAAGCGATAATGTCCCAAAGAAACACAAAACATATCTAAATAAACATGATTTGATCGACTTTTTATCATTAAAAATTTCTGTCAGAATAATAACATGCATGTTAAAAAAAATGAAAATTTATAATATCTAATTAAGGGAGTTTAATCCATCTGGACAAATCTAGTGACTGCACCATTCATCTTGCTTAAACGAAATCTGATGCTTGAGTTTGGTATTAAACATATTTATATTTGTGCATTTAAATCATATAAAATCAAAAAGAAATTGATCTGGAGAGAGGCTCAAATCTTCGAGAAGGCTTTTTCTATTTTGAGCTGTACCCGTAAGACTTTCCTGATAACAGCTGCCTACTGTGATCAAGGGGATCACACCTATTTTTGTGGATCAGAAAATGTAATAATGAAATATAAAAAAGCAGTACAGAGATTACTAGGGAGTGTTTGGAATTTTAAAAATAATTTTATGATATATAAAAATATATTTGATTTGGATAAAAAGTAATTTTAAAAAGTATTTCGAAACAAAATTTCTCTTACATACTTAATTTATGTACCGTAAAATTATTCTTAAAATTATGATTTTATTTCTATTATTCAATGACTTTCAAAATAAGTTTTGTTTCGATTAATTACGTGAAAACATGCTTTCTAAGGTGATTTTTGGGTATCCCGAATACTCAGAGATAGTTGCGTTTGGGATGGCGAGCAGTGGAGTCGGAATGGGGAGGAGGGAAATGCGTGTGGCAGGTAAATTGGGTCAAAAGGGCGAAGGCGATCTGGAAACCGACAGCGCGCTTCAATCATTGAGCGACTGGTGGGGCGATGGATGTGAAGTGAGGGGTTATTAGTCCCAACAAAAACTTATAGATATGAACCCAGTAACCACTCCTCCTTCCTTCCTTCCTTCCTTCCTTCCCCACCTCCCCCTCCCCTGTGGCTCACAACTTCTCGTCCTTGCCCCCACCCTTCTCCCCATGCCCTTTTGCTTTCACCTCATATCTCTTCTGTCCCTCATTCCCTTCTTCTCCTTCCTCCCCCCCTCCAAAAAAAAAAAAAAAAACTAGGAGGTGTCTCTATTAAATAATTTGATGCATTTACCTCCGTAAACTATCACATTACCTTGCTCAATCTCCACTTGAATTTGACTAGTCTATTTTACCTGCGAAATATGAGGGGAAAAAAGTGATGAAAGACCCTTGTTTAGTTGCTTATGTGGATGGCCTTGCTTCCCTCCAGCATTATACTCCGCTTGTTTGTGTCGCATTTTGTATTGTTAATCTCAGAATCTGCTGGTGAAAGAAATTTAGTCTGCCCAAATATTCTTGCCTGTAAGCTGTATGTAGCAAGTCCTAGCAACACCAGCTGATCGCCAATTTGGGCTCCACTTCATATATTTTAACTCAACCTTTGGCCTTGACCTTGAGTACCTAGCTGATATACATCTGTTCTCGTAAAATAAATATATCCAATTTTTGTTTGGGATTTGGTTAGAAAAAGTTTTTTTTTTTTAAAAAAAGGGAATGAAATAAACTTTGAAGCGGGATTTAGATTGAAAGTTTGAAACAGGCACGTTAAAGATGAGGAGGTGTCGAGTGGAGGGACCTACCGTACGGCGCTATCATTTGTGAGCAAGATTGAAGATCCTCCGGATGGCGTGGGGCAAATTAGGGTTTTGCCGAGGCTCTGGAGAGGTCAGCAATGTCATATCGCATCCGATGATGTCAGGTCAGCATTCAATAACTTTAAGCTGTATCTATCTATCCGGCCATCCCTTTGAAACCACCAGGCCTTTCCAATCTCAAAAACTGCCCTTCCTACTTTGTCCTTGGCGTGTGCCTTCCCCAATCTGTCCTTCCAACTTTGACTATTTATGAAAATGGGACTTTTATTCTTTTGCCTTAATCCTTGTGCCGCCCGAGGGTCAGGCGGATGGGTAGACTTTTTATTTTTTATTTTTTTGGGGAGCGATAAAGGATAAACACGACAATAATGGCTTTGAAGATATCTTATCCGTCCGATTTTCGGCAAGTTGACAACGTGACAACGCATGCTTGCGTGGATCCTAAAATGAAAGCTTCATATTTTATGCATGTCTACGACGTTACAGCTGTATCGAACTTAACTCCCCTCCTCCTATTGGCCTCAATTTAAGATCAGGCTTCCTTTATTATGGCTGATGCTCCTCCATTTCGTGCGCCTTGTGGGTGCCCTTTTGATTTGATTACTTCCTTTCAAATGGAATTCCATTTGGAACCCATACCAGCCTTAGCCCCTTCTACTTTTTGGCCAAGTTTTGCTTCACATGTACGCTACGACGAGCCCTCCTCCGTCCTCCAACGGCAACATTTTTGGGACGATGATCTGTTATTCTGTTCCGAGCGATCCACAAAATAAGGTAGATCTTCTGGTTTTCTTCGTCGTTCTTTGGGTTTTATTTATCTTCACTGGCACCTCACACACACACATCACGGGCCTCGTGGTCTTGTGGTTTACTCTAGATGGTTATTATGGTACAACGCACTGCAAAGCTCAAGTTTCTGGCTGGAAAGGCGTATTTTTGTACAAATTGCACTTTGAGAAATCTTAACATGTCCAGAACAAGCCGCATCAACTTTTCTGGTGAAGCTTCCAGTTTTTTAAAGCCTTCACGTGTTCTGTAGAACCTTAATATTTAAAGATTAACTGGTTCTCTAGTCTATTCTTTTGAAGGAGAGGTGTGGAAGCTTCATTTGTCTTTTCTTTTTGTTTTTTTTGTTTTTTTAAATAAAAAAGTTCCATGCTTATCTCGCGGAAGGTTATCGAAGGGCAGCCCCTCCGAACCTTATACCATGTTTTTATGTGACCAGTCTTTGTGATCAATCTCTTTCACAAGAAAGTAATGACATTTTATGCATCCAGTCTCGTTCCAGCTTATTCAAGTATTCATCTCCTCAGTACGTGTTATTGATCTCTGTTTCTTGGCACTAGCCAATGCTATGGTTGGTCATCTGAAGTGGGGGAGCACTGTTATACCTGTCAATCAATAAAGTGACAAGTCTGCTACCAGTTCTCCAAGGTAAAACCTGCTATTTTGAATCTTCTAGCAGTTGATGGTTTTTTATAATTTTTCTTCTAAGGTAAGGCTTTGTGTTTGGTTATGCGCTCATGCTCTGCATCTGTGTAAACTTGCAAAATTAGTCCTTCTGATAAGTAGAAACTTACTGCCGGCGATTAAATTTACACGAAGCGTGTTGTTTGTGCTGTTATAGTTGTTGGTTTTCATATATATCTTCCATACTCCCCTCTTCACTGATTTATGCATAATATATAGGAGGTTCTACTTGCAGCAGAATTATCTTTTTATTCTATAGACTCGTGTCTGTTGCACACAGTCATAGGCGCTCACAGTCATACGTGTGGATTTAGCTGGTTTGGAGATTTATAAAGAATTAAAGATCCTGACTAGATTGGCTCATAAAGTGGAAGTTCCTTTTCTCTGTTGTCTGAAGAGCTTCCCTTAGGATGCTGGAGACCGGTTGATTTAGACAGACAGAGCAGTTAGAGTGCTCTGCTTGCAGTTCTCTTTTGTTTGGCTGTCCCGTCCCTTTTACATTTTGTCCAAAAAGAAAAAGAAGGAAAGAAAGAACGGACATCCTAGAGCCCTGTGCTGTGCTGTTCTGCAGTTCGGCTTGCTCTCTTGATTTTCCCCACCCGATGCATACTATTTTGATTTATTCTCGGTGGGTCATGAATATTGCTTTGAGTGGATTCAGATATTTCCAGCACAAGAAATTGGCTGGGCTAGGCCCAATGTAAGGTAGACAGGCCCAAAGAAAATAAGATCCAAAGGCAAAAAATAAAAAACCGAAAAGAAGAAGGATTGCTGGCCGAAATACTGTCTTAGTGATATGGATGGTTTTACATTTCTTGTTAAGTTTGAACGTGAACTTGTTTTGAACTCGCCATAAAAGCATAGCGTGATTAAGCGTTGGAAACATTCAACTGCAACACGAGGTGTTTTAATTTTCCTTCGTTGCTCCAGATCTCAGTTATAGAAAAATATTAGCAATTGTTTGTTACAGACTCTGCATTTGATATATGATGTATGCGGAATTATGTTCACATATATGAAAATTGTTTGGTTTTGTTGAAGGTGAATAGGCTAAACCCTTGGCCGCGGTCGTTTAACCTTGTTCAATTAAAAGGACGATTTCTATGGTTTCTTATGACGGTAGATTCAGTCACTTTCTGGTGAATTGAGTAATCTCATAGGAGAGGACATGAATTATGGTTGCTATTGATTAAAGCTGCTATTCATGACGAATGCTGTGTCATGTAGCACCAGAGCTGTTACTAAAGAGCAACACATACTTTAAAGGTTTTAATCTCCACCGCCCACCTCACCTTATCACTTTGTCCGTTTGTCATATAAAATCTCAATAATGCAGTAACATAAACATCAATGCTGGCCCGTGAAAGTTTCAGCCACACACGTCACTTGATCGTATCAACTAAATAATTCAAGAAATCTGCTGCTTTTTTGATTCGCACCACACACTGCCTGCCACCTTATCTACCTGTCTTTTCTGCTACTGTTATCAACCACACGCGCTCTGCTACCCTATCGTCTTTATTAACCGCTCATTTGCAACCCAACTTGCAACACACACCCAGGTGACAACTGAAAAGCCTTGTGTGTGAATCTAGCCTTCTGTGCTCGGAGGGCAAAAATCACTGCTCAGCACTGACTTATTTGCCTTCTAATTTGTTTTTTAGATTCAGGCACCAATACCATGGAGACTGTTTTTTCCAAGATGTTTCCCCCAGTGGCATTGAAGGTATTATGTAAAGCTAGAGAAAGGCATATAGGTTACTTTATCATTGGTCTTTGGGGTTTGGTTACTGCAAATCCGTGTGTGCTTTTATGTTTGCGCTGAGAAAGAAAAAAATAACGATTTTTGTCCATTTAGGACGTTTTCGGCAGGATAAGGCGCCCTAACTGTGGAGTTGAAGCAAGAATAGGCTTAGAAAAGAGAGAACTTTGAGGCTTAAAATCGACATATGACTAAAACAACCATATCAACTATTCTTTGTTTAACATGGCAAATAAGACTATTTTTGGTTTTTACACAATAGTCAAGTTTTGAAATTGGCCAGTTAAAGTAGTTCTGTTCTGTGCGTGATTTATAAGTCTGCATTCTGCTAACCTTGCTTTGTGTATTAAAGGGAATATTGCTGTTTGTTGCTGTGTGTTTTTATGCAAGCTTTGATTTCTGTGTTTCATTGCGAAGGAAGCTGACGGGGTAATAATGGATAGGTGGCCGCATGTGGTTGATGGCAATGTCATCAGAGAGAAACCCACCCGGCTTCATCCTTTGTATTTTGTAGTCAGAATTGGAATCTGATTGCTTGTATTTAAAAGAGATTTGTATGGTGGTTATAGTTTATTACAAAAATGATTTCGATACAACTGTTCAATACATCTACTGATTAGGGGAATGTTCATTTCTGCTATCTTTTTCCTTCGATGACCAAGACTGGCTAGGCTTCTCATGTGAAAACGTGGATCCCATCAAATGAGATCAGGAACGACCGAAATTTTTGCTGTTTAAAAATTTGCCCCCTTTTTGGGCCAAAATAATATGTGCCTTTTGTTAAAGTACTAAGCTTAAAGTTAAATTTTTAAAAATATATTTACTATTTAAAATTTTGACTCAAGTGATAATATTTTTTTTGAAAAGTAATTTTTTATTAAAAACTTATTTTCATATGTGTTTTAATGTTTTGGTAATGAAAGTTTAATATGTTTATTTTATTTTGCTGAGGTTTAAACAGCTTTTTTGGACAAAGATTTCAAGAGAGTAAGGCATATGTAGTACGAAATTTTTTTGAATAACCTTTTCTTTTGGGGGGGGGGGGGAGGGACCCTGATAAAAGCAGTTTTCTCTCCTGGCCGAAGATGATTACTTAATTTCAATTAAATTTTTAGTCTTATTTTAAAAAATATGTTTTGGGAAAAGTGTTAAGTTTATTTCTTTTACATTTCATTCAGTGCTTTAGATAATCCAAGATATTGAAATTTAGTTTATGGATTACGAACAAAAATACCGCTTGATGCGATAATTGGAGGGAAAATTGATGAATAGTTTACTTTGTGGAGTTTCAAAATTAGGACGCTTTAAGTTTTAACTTTAAAGTTTACTGAAAGTCAAAACTTGGGTTTCTCTTCGTGTCTTGAAAAATCATAATTTATAACCTTGTCAATTATGGATTCAATGTGCCTCTTTCATGCCCTGAAAAGCCGATATGCCGCTACGCGCAGGCCTCATGCCTGACCCGAAAGGCCGAAACAACGACGAATTTGAATGTTTTATTACATCAAATTATCTCACAAAATTACCTACGAAGAATTACAATTTTAAATTTTCAGCACCCAGGTTGTGTCTATTTATTTAACACTTATACTCGTAGGAAGACAAAGTCCGTTTTGAAAGTAGATAACTCATAATTCACAAAATACTTTCATGTTTCCTTTTGGAATAGGTTTTGGAAAAATATGATATTCCAATGGTATATTTTCTGTTGTGTGTGAGTAATCTTGACACTAAACTAGATTCATACTGTGAAGAAGAACGCCAACTCTAAGGAAATTGATGGAATTGTGTAGTGCAGAAAATATAGAGTGCAAGAATATTTATATTTTATATGCGGACTGATCGTAATTATTTTAATGCTCAGTATTTTTATGAAATTTTATTATGCTGATAGCTGATGCAAAGTTTAATTAGTATGTATATAGCTATACATATATATAATATTTCTGTCTTCGTCATTCATTATAACAGAATAACTACTACTGTACGTGTTTTTATTGCCTTTTTAATGAGGAGCATGATGGACTTTTTATATACAAAATATTATTATTCTATTTATTTCTCTATATCGTTTTATTTTTTATTTGAATATATGGAGAGGGGATCATATAAAAACACTGCTAACAAGTCTTTTACAGTGAAAATTTTGAACTTGTACATCACAAGTAACTGTGAGGCTATACTTGGATGAGGAGAAAATTAGGCGAAAAAAATATTAGAAGGAAAATTTTTCTAAAATAGTTAAAAAAATAAATTTATAATTTTTATCTAGTATTCTCTTTCATCTATTTTCCTCCAACTTTTCCCTCCATCCAAACATAACCTAAAAGTCCTATTAGTTTTCTTTGTTGGTTAGAAAAATGTTGAGAAATTTGTGAATATTCGTTATTAATTCTTTTAATAAAGATACAAAATATCTTTTACCCGAGTTCTTGAGGAATTTACTCGCATTCTGTATTTTATGAAGAAAACTACTATTGAAAAAAAAAAAAAACACTGAAAAGTATGGAAAATGGGGTTTGGGAGTTACTCCCTGGACGACCCATTTGTTCTCTGATTGCCGCTTCTGTGACATTTACATGCCCAGACGTCAAATTATAAAAATCCTACAATTTCTCAGTGAGTATCGCACTTAATTTGTTTATCGAAATGATCATCTTCCATACTACTTCTTTGGTATCCATCGATCAGACTAAATATATAGTTCATGAAGTCCTGATGCATATATATCCTGTGGGTGTGATGATGTGCAGGGCCAGCAGATTGAATATAATCCGGAGGAACTTGATGAATTGCTGGGACAGGTTGAAATATGGCACTACATGACCAGCTTCACCGACTCCGTCGCCCTCAAAGTTGCGGTGGAGCTCCGCATAGCTGACATTATCGACCGCCATGGCCAACCCATGACCCTTCAAAAGATCATCGACAACATCGACGGTGCTACCGACCCTGAAATCACCTTCCTCTTTCGTGTCATGCGAGTTCTTGTCCGCCGAAAGATCTTCTCCGCCCAACAAACCGACTCCGGCGAGACCCTTTACGGCTTGACCCGTGCTTCCAAATGGCTCCTCCGTGACACCAAAATGACCCTCTCCCCCATGCTTCTCCTCGAGAACCACCCCATCCACCTGAACCCCGCTCACTACATTAGCCAATGCATCAAAGAAGGCACTAAAAACGGCACTGCTTTTTTCAAGTGCCATGGCCACGAGCAATTCGACCTCACCGGTTTGGACCCCGAGTACAATAAGTTGTTCAACGAGGGCATGGTCTGCACCGCTAGGGTTACGTCCAAGGCTGTTATTTCGGGCTACAAGGATGGTTTCAACAAGATCCATTCCTTGGTGGACGTAGGAGGCGGCATCGGAGGATCACTCTCTGAGATTGTTCGAGCTAACCCCCACATCAAAGGCATCAACTTTGATCTTCCCCACGTGGTCGCCACTGCACCAAAATACGACGGAATCACTCACGTCGGGGGAAACATGTTCGAGTCCATCCCTGAAGCCGACGCTATCTACATGAAGGTAACAAATCCTATAATTCTTGATCTTTTCTTGTTTCATTTTTAATGGGATCGTATGTACGAATAAGAAGTTTGTATAAACGTGGGGGTGCAGTGGATTTTGCATGACTGGAGCGACCAGCACTGCATTCAGATATTGAAGAACTGCAGAAAAGCGATCCCCGAGAAGACAGGGAAAGTGATAATAGTGGACCATGTTCTGCAACCGGAAGGCAACAACGGGCTGTTCGACGAGGTAGGGTATGCATTTGACATGATGCTGCTGGCTCACAACGCTGGTGGAAGGGAAAGGACTGAGCAGGACTGGAAGAGGCTGTTCGAAGAAACTGGCTTCCCTCGGTACAACATCATCAAGATCAAGGCTCTCCAATGCATCATCGAGGCCTTCCCAATCTGAGGATCCATTATCCACTCGGCATTGTTTAGCCTTTGGGGGTTTATTAATGAACGTAGCCAACTATTGAATAAATCGCCCCTCTGGGCTGGGATTTGTAGGTGTGCTATGATCCTGCGGACTACGGTGTGTTTGTGTGTAAGTGAGTGACTGCATGTGAGGGTATGTGAACCCTCCGTGAATTGTAATGCTCCTATTTCTACGTAATGGTGAAATATCTTTGGTATGTAAAATGCTCACCACTTTCGATTCTCGCTTCTTCATTCCCACACTAACACTGTAATTTATTTTTATTTCAAGTCTCATGCTTTTGACTCAAATCAGACTGCCCAGCTAGTTGGTGGCTTAATAACCAATATGATGTATATATGATCGATGAAACGTAAAATGGTTGGCTTATTAAGATCCCTCATATGTCGCCCTCCTATCAACCAGGTTAAAAATGTTAGCTTTGCAATCAAACTCATTCTTCTTAGAATGTCCATAACGTTAACTCCTTAATAAACCTATAACTTATTAAAACTTTTTAATTTCATATTTATTAAAATCATTAAATCTTATTTGTTTCGAAATTGTCATCTTTATGACAAATTTTATGTTGATTAGATATATACTTATAAAAAATATTATTACAGCATTTCAATATTATCAACTAATTAAATTTTCACGAAATTAAGTTGTCAATATATTTTTATTTATTATATGTTTAATGAATTTTAAAAAAGTCAATATTTTATAATAAATTTAAGGATGCGTGAGATTTGTTTTTTATACCGCACTCTTCTTTTCTGTGAATATACTTTCTTTTTTTTTGTGTGGGTATAGATATCCTTCCATTAGAGGCAATCCTGTTTAAGGTACTGTTAGGAACTAAATGTAGACACCTCTACACCTCTTTTAGTGAAATTTGAATACCTTGATTCATCACATCATTAAAGATTAGCCTTTTCTGCTAAACCCAATCCATTGGTTTTTATAAATATGCTATGTATTCTATATTTCTTATCAAATAATGTTGGGTCAAGCAATAATTAAATCATTGTGCGGTCCGCTGGGGCAGGGATCCTCTTCAGCCAAATCTCTACCCTTGTTGTAATCCAACGGTTGATTATTGAGAAAGAATGTTAATCATTGGACGAGTACGAGGTCCACATGTCCGGGAGAGGGGTCTCTCCAACTTCTTCCTTTTATTCCGGGCGATGCATGACCTGTATTTGCTCCTTCTACTAAATTTACTCATTTGCAGCCCACGTCTCAATTTCAACGACTCCATTGGTGAGGATTTGGCTGCAGAGAGGTCTTGAGGAATAAGTTCTTTTTTCAGAAGGTAGTTCGATGATGAAAGAGATGCGGTTTTTAAAATGGTGTCTGCTCACAGAAGCTTGGGTTAATCATTAAACCGAAATCCATTGGATTAAGTAATTGAATAGTATCATCAGATGAACAAAAGAAGGCAGCAAGCGCATTGGATTGAAACTGATCGAACTCATTTACTGGACTCAAATAAATTACAGGGTAATGCTTCCCAGTATCATCAATCCAAAACTGGACGCTGCAGATTTGGCGCTGTTTGACCACAATTTCTACAGCCAAGCCAACCTGGGCTGTAGGTAATCAATGAGCAGTCAACACAATTCAGTTTCTAATCAAAACATCTTAATTTCTCCTTTCATCGCCATGAAAAATCACCGGCGACATTTCTCTGTGGATGCCATAGCAGGTATTTTTCTATTCTCTTTCTCTCCCTCCTGTCTTGGCATTTATTATGACTTCGGGGATCCTTCAAGATCTTTTAACTTCCTTTTCATTTGCGTCACAATAAGGTTTTAGGCTGTTCATTATTATCATCAACGAAGGCATCATTATGTTGTTCTGTTTGTCTTCTGGATCTGAACGTAATGCAATGTTCATTTGTTTGTTTAATTGGCGATGAATGTTTTGTTAGGCGCTGCAAATGCTATGGTTGAACACGGATCGTGGATTGTTGGATTCTTTCTCCGCCCAACCACCAAACAAAATGGAAAATTTCATGAATGTCTCTGTCCTCTTCAGGTATCTCAGGATGAAACACTTAATGACATTAATTCTTCCTCTGAGTTTCCCTCTCTGTACTTTTTATCACTCTGCACTGGCATCCATGAACTATCAATTTATATAGAAAAAGACAATTATTATAGTAGCTACAGATTCAATGAACTGGCAAAGTTTCCATTTTTTGTCAGGAGAGGAGACTTCACAGGCTTCAAGAACGACTGCTGGTGCCTTTTGATGAGACTCGCCCTGATCATCAGGTGTTTGTGTGAGCGCGAGTTTATATGCTCCTTCATGCTTTCATCATAATTTATTTGTATTGCTTAGAAAAAGACAAGTTCAATTGATTTCTCAGTTTTGCTAATCAAGATTTCATGATCTGTGTTGTGAACTGTGTGAACAGGAAGCGTTGAGAGCGTTGTGGCATTGTGCCTTTCCGAATGTTTCCTTGAGAGGAATGATATCTGAACAATGGAAAGATATGGGATGGCAAGGTTCTAATCCATCCACCGACATCAGGTATTCATTCATCATATTTTTTCCATTCTATGCTTCCTCTTTTCAAACTCTGCTCTGTTTAGTAGATTCAATATTTCCGCTGCCATATTAATTCCGAACCTTCCTTCTTATAGTCTTCTCCTAACGTACTATAACAATTACTTAAATTGGCAGTGCTAAACTAAACCATGTACTTTTGTATGCTTTCCGTTTTAATATTCACAGATTTTGTTAAATAAAAGCCTTCTATCTCAGGGGATGTGGCTTTATTTCCGTTGAAAATCTGCTCTTTCATGCACGGACATATCCGGTGTGCGCTTCTACCTTCTTCTTCATTTTTGGCATGTATAGGAGAATTGGGCGTGACTGTCATGATCTCTTTTACATTTTATGGCAATTCAAAATGAAGGCATCCTTTCATCGGTTATTATACAAGAAAGACGGAAAGCGATCAGCGTGGGAATATCCATTTGCTGTCGCTGGCATTAACATATCATTCATGTTGATACATCTGTTGGATTTATGCTCGGGTTTGTACTGAACAATCTTCGCTCCGTTATGACTTATGAGTACCTGTCCATGTCTTTAATGACAGAAAAACGCAGACGAAAATGATAACATCACATACGCTTTCAGAAAAATGTAACTACAGTGTTTTAACCCTTTTTTTGTGCGGACCGATCTTTGCAGACAAGTCTCAGACTGCTGCCGGCTCAAACTTTATGAAGTTTTTAAAAGGTAATAGTTTTGCATCTCAGTCTCTTCCCTGTCTTCACACGCAAAAGCCAAGCACGTATTGGGCAAGTAATATCCACAATTAAAAATAGAATTTCGTCTACTGTTTCAAACGTTTAAATCTGAGAATGGTGGGTATTGCAGAAGAAGAAGAAGCATTCGATGTTTTATACTGCATAGCTTTCGAGATGATGGATGCCAATTGGCTGGCTATGAATGCTTCCTACATGAATTTCAACGTATGATTATTTCTTTCCGTACGTGTTCTGTGTATATTCACTGCAGTTGTATTGACTCTCTTTCGATGAATTTGATGGCTTCAGGAGGTTCTACAAGCAACCCGAGAGCAACTAGAGAGAGACTTGTCTCTAGAATACATTAACAGAATACGAGACCTTCCAGCTTACAGTTTATTGTACCAATAGCTTTTTCTCCCATGTCATCCAGATTCATTAAACTCACATTCTGAGTAGTTTCTTTGTAAATAGTGCCGTAAGATCCATGGCCAAGAATTATTTGAACTACAGTCGCCCACTGAAAGTCTCCCCTGAAAATGACATCATTGCCCAGTTCTTTTGAAACAAGAGAGAAACTACTGAATGAACAAAAAAATTTAAATAAACGAAAATTAGTTATCAGGAAGTGAAAATCAATTAAGAAAATTCATGTTCTCTATGCTTATTTCTGGATCACCATGCTGGGCTTGAAAAATGGCTTGTGTAGGTCATAAGCATGTTTACATTTTTTTAGCATGTTTGGATCAATTTTTAACCCATCTAACTTATGGACCAAAAGCTAATAAAACCAAGCTTGATCTGAAAAGAAAAATATGAAAAATCAGTATATCATATAAAACCTCTACAAAATTATAGTATTTGTAAGTCATAAATATTACAACTCACATTCAATTCTAAATGTGTCTAATTTTCGCTATTTGAATTGCATGGCCCATGTCAAGTGTCTTCGCTCCCCATGAAATTTTGTATTTAATCAATCAACTTACAATGACTAAATTTTCTAAGCTCACCACCGCCAACGTGAACGTGGTTGGGCCCCATGATCTTCACGAAATTTTAGCGTTGTCATATTCTGCTTCTATTCTGTCATCCCCTGTGCCGTCTCATACGTGTAAGAGGCTTCTTCAAGAGGCTGTTGGCGTCTCTATACTGGTTGGTTCAAAACGATGTTCCCTGCATATTGGATCCATTTTGGCTAGTTCCGTTAGGGGATAGTTGACTGTGGCTTTTAAAAAGACGCTACCATTGTTGTTCTTGTGAGGAGATTTTCATTATGCTTTTCAACTCTGGGGATTCGTATTTGATGAAGCATTAGATTACTGGTGGTGATTTCTGACAAGTCCTAGTGACTAAATAGGTTCAGGTTGTCTCCCGTTCAAATGATATTGTCTTGTCCAAGTACACATAGATACAAAGAACCTATTTTATAGGCACATGTTTGGGACGGACCAAAAGATCAAGAGAGCAGAATGTCCCCCACTAAAACAAGGAGAAAATTCTCTAACTCTAGCATCATCCTTTGTTCTAGACTTCTAGTGAACCAGGGACCCTGTCAGCTTGCGCTAGGAACATAATATTTAAGCATGTCCTCCTAAGGTATTGAGCCCATCTAAGTGCTTGGCCAAATTAATATTCAAATTTCAAACGTACATTTTTCACAGCCCGTCAGCAAGGTTCAGAGATATTTTCCCATCTTAGTTTGAACAACTGTGCTAGCATTTACTCACAAGACACAGGGCCTTTCATGAGTTCCAAGTTCATTTTCCACACCCATGCTGTGTTTATGCAGTAAATAATATTTTTATCACAACAATCTAATTTCTTAATAAAATATTAGTAATGGAATTCTAAATCAGGATTGGGGCTGCTTTGAATGTTAATAAATTGTGAAAATGTAGGTAAAAATGCTAGTGAATTTTGTTGAGTACTAGCAGAATGCGACAAGCACTTGGAAGGCGAGTAAGTGAAGTAGAAAGTGGTAAACATGATTGAAAAGTGAACTGTTCTGAGGTGGGAGAGCTCTGCAGAGTCATGGTGCATGGCACCACCAATTAGTGGTAGAGAAAGAAAATAGAACAAATTGGGTCCAAATAATATTGGGGCTACTCCACTTGCTGCAGCATCCTACCTACTTCAGTATCGGCCCTCTCTTTTCTTCGCTCATCAGATTGCATTCGCAGCATCTATTAAGGCCTCATTATTAGTAGCTAGCACCTCCATTTTCTAATGTTTGATTTTATATATCCCGAGCCACGTTGTTGTGTTGACTTGATATGGTGTGAGGCCTCCAGATTGTGGCACCAAGTTGGTTGGTTTAATACGTTGGGCTCTTGTGACCATGACTTCTTGCAGAGCCAACAAAGAAAAGTGAATAAAATATTTCAAGTGAGGAAGGAAGGGATCAAACATATGAAGATGTAATGATGAAGAGGCCTAGGTGAGGGCACACATTTTGTATTTATTGTTGGTTCGCCCACCTGGATAGTACCCAGACCACAACGCACAAGCTGAATTATCAAGTCTTCCACTTGAAAACCCATCGCACTTCGCTGTTAAGCAATCATTGTGCCATGACCACCAATCATACTACTTAACTCAAATTTATACACTTGCTATCTATCCTGCCATGCTTCATTCTAATCTCTCATTTTGTTTCATTTAAGTGCCTTCACGTAGCATTCCAACAAGTATTATGAATGAAGTGGCTTTATTCTTATCACCCATTAAACAATAAACCTGGATTAATTCACCTACCTTACGGTCCATATGATTCTTAAACTAAATAACCCGTTTCAGTGGCAATGGCAATTGGTAGCTTACTTGTGAGGGTTATATTTATTTTCACTTTCATTTACTGTAACCATTGGCTTTGCCGCACTTTAACTTCATTTACCATCGGCTGCCGTTACGACTTTGTAATTCCTTTAGAATTGAGTTTCTTAAATCTGATAACATCACTATTCATTAAGAGGACTACTACGGTTAGGGAAAGGATGGGAAGGATGATAAGAGGTCAGTTTCATTAACATAGTTATGTTATAATTAAATGAGATTAAACGTACAAACACTCATGGAAAGCCAAGTGGGTGAGGAGTGAGAAGTGGCGAACAGCTAATTATGATACTGATGCATTTGACTTGGAGAAGCCTTCTGTGTGGGACTGCGAAGTGTGAGGCCTTCGTTGGTGCCTTGTCTCTTTTCCTGCTTTTTCCATCCTTTCCCCTCAACCTGGCCCATTCTCTAATTTTGCATTCACTTCCATCTGGATAACAACGTTTTTCCTTCCACTTACCCCACAAGTAAAAAATATTAGTTTATGTCACTAGATTGCTTTTACTTTAACTTAATATTTTGAATTATTAAATGAACATTCAAATTATTACGCTCCTGCCCTCCTAAAATTTCCTGCATTACGATATATCCAACGGGATGCAACTTCAAACTATTTATAAAATGCCTTCGTCTCATGTAGGTGTCAACAGTTAGCCAGAATTTTAAAGATCTTGAATTTATAGATGACATAAGAATTTCCTAAATTATTTTTCAGCTTTCATAGCGTGTAGGGATGAAATGGCAAGATATGCTTTCGCAGCAAACATCACTTTCAAGGGAGAAGGAGGCGAGTTGAAGGCAGAAAGCATCAGGAACTGAAGAATGGGATTGTTTTACTTACCCATTATAGGAGTACCAACCAAACGCCTTCTATTAGAACTAAGCATTAAAGGCAGAGAAAAACTAAGTCCGTAGGAATGATCCTTATGTCGAATAAAAATGCCCAAAAATACTCGGGTTAAGCTCTTCACACGTATTTCCATAACAGCTATCAAAGATGTTGCAAAATTGCCGCTTCTATTTTTTTTCGGGTTCGTTAGTCATGTTGGCACAGTGCGGTGGGCATCGAAGCTCAATGTAAATGACCAAATAAAACAAGAAGCGAAAGATGCAGAGTAAGAAAATGAACAAGGGGGTTCCTTCCACTCCACAGGTCTGATTGAATCCGTATTCCAAGTTCTATGGTCTCGCCCTCCTCACTCACTCCGCCTATCTCTCTTCTTTTCTACATACAGAGCCTCTCCTCCATCAGAGGCTGTTTAAAAAAGATAAAGATAAAGATAAACACATCCCTCTCAGCTGCTCCTAAATGTAACATGTATCAGATCCCTCAACACTCTTTCACACACAAAAGGAAAAAGAAAAGAGAGAAGAAAAGCCTAAAAATTCCAAAGCAATGTGATAGAGAAACCAGCTGGTCCTCATGCAGTTAGGGAGAAAGAATGAAAAGGAGGAATTCAGGGATGGCGAATGCCATTAAAGTAATTGAAGTCATGATGAGAGACCCTCAGTTGCTTCAACCATGAATCTGCCACGCTGAGTAGTGACAAAATTCTCTCTTGGTCCCTACCATAATTACCCGACACCCACACATTGCCTTGCATCTTGTACGTGGCCAATCCAAATGCTGGCAGCGACATCCCTTCCCCTTCTTTTCTCTTCGCGTGCCCTCCCTCGCTCTCATCTTCAATGTCCATATCTGCATAACAAATCACACACACGCCTTTCACTGATCATTCTTTTTACAATCCGCCAATTCATGACTTAGAGGGATGTGCAGGAACTGGACTCACTACCTTGGAATGACGATGATAGTGTGTGGTATGTGAGGAAGCAGGTCGACAGATCTTTGATTGTTCTTCCCATGGGAATATGATATATGGGGTACCTGAAACAACAGTGCGTATTCGTCAGCATATTGAACGTACCTAATGCTTAGAAATCTCAGTAACCAGACTTTCTTACCAAGCAACGGCCATCCAGCTAGCCGGTGAAAGATCCACGCTTCTTAATGACATCAACCCGGGGAATCTTTGAGCTAACCCAGTTACCTGTGAGTGAAAAGGAATGACTCAACCGTGGAATCTTTTTGGTGCAGAACGTAATATACGGGTGGAATTTGTCTTATTCACGCGGCAAGAACTATTCAATGACGGGCATCACATTCAAGGAGGGGGAAAAAAGTCGGAATATATGCTTACAAGAAATATAACAATTACGTTTAGATAAGAAATCAGAATATATATAATTCCCGTTTCCACTTGAAAGAGAGATATCAGATAAGTCAATACGGACAGAGATAAGGGAATAGGGTCTCTAGATTCATATTGAAAAGTCAAAAGTTCAAAAGTTTATCTCTTATGGATGTCTGTGATGAAACGAACTTCGGTGATTATACCACAACCCAACCGAAGAGCTCTTTCCCTGTTCCTATTCTAAGTGAACACATTCTGATAGTATTAAGAACAGGAAAGGCAGAGTAGACTGAGATGAAGTTGTAATCGAAGTTAAAACAAACAAAGGGCGAGAAAATAAAAATGGCTGAACGAAGACATGAACAAGCACACGCACCTTATCCATCAAAGGGACTCTTCCATATGGAGTTGATCTCTCAAAATATTGGAAATAGAGATTACCCAATCTGTCATTCAGATGCCAGAGACAGTCTTGCTCCAACCCTCCTTCCTCAGAAGAACTCCCATCCCACCTCCATAACTTATCACTCTCGCTCTCCTCGCTGAAAGAATCACTACACGAATCCCTTGCCTCACTGTCGCCGGACTCAGTCTCTTCCCTGAAAATAACATTCGTAAGACATTCAATCCAAAGTTTATAGACGACAGCCCATTTCATAAACATTAACCAAAACATGATATCTCATCGATGAAAACGGGGAACCTTTCCGAGCTTGGCGGTGGGAAGAAACGGGTCTTGATCAGGTCAAGAAGACAAAAATGATTGAAAATGGTTTCTGGTGTCGGAATGCATACCTGTAAGTACTGCTCGTGAAAATCTGAATTGCGGAGAGGTAAGGCACATAGTATTGTACAAGGGTCTCCCCATTGTTCAAAGTGATTGGAACTCCAGCTCCGTACGCACTCCATTCGTCGTAGCGATTCCAGAGATCACGCAAGGTGAAATACTCTACGGTTTCCCTCTCCCACGGATGCCATAAACGATTAAGGTTCCTAATCTCAGACTGTCAAAATATACATACAATCAAAACTGATTAAGAGCGCATTAAATTAAGATCAAAGGCTTCACGACCAGCGAAGGTCAAAAGCACCTACCTTTGGTAGAAATTGGGATTGAACCACCGGTGTCGTACGTCTGAGGAAGCAGTCAAGGTTTGATTGCATTGGCCCTTTATCGAAAATCATGGCTTTGACGGAAAGGAGGAAGACAAAAAGAGGGCGATAAGAAGAAGGTGAAAGGGAAGGGGGTGTCTCAGCTTCACTCCCAACCCTGAAAACAGAGACAGCCCAAAGGTGAAAAACTGAAACTGCCCCGGGGGGGGGGGGGGAAGGAGAGAGGGAGAGAACGAGCAATTGTTGGAGTCGGAACGGAATGATCTGTTTGGAAGGAGGAGGAAAATATTTGAAATGCAAACGACTTTCGTAAAGAATCCTATTTTTTGACGTTTGGAAGCCGAATTTCCCGGAAAACTCAATCTTGCTGTCAATTTATCTCTATATCTCCTTCCTTGTCTCTCTGTTTCCCCAGAAAGATAACTTTGCCGGCAATATTGTAAATTCACCACTAAAACTTCGGCCGGAGACACTAATTTTCCCGCTAATTTTCCCGCAATTATAGTCTTTACATTGACTAGTTTCTCTCTCTTTCGCTATTTGGCTAAGCCTTCAAGAAAACTCAACCCCACTCGTCTTTGTTGGATACTTAAGAAACTTGGACATAAACAAGCGGACGCTTTACCCTTAAACCTTCATACAGAAAGAAACCACCAGTGGAATCACGACCATACCCACGCAAATTACCGGAAAGTTTGAAAGAAGAGAAGGACAGTGACGGAGAAAATTCTCCCAGCACATGCAGAGAGCTTGCTCTGTCCTGATCATAAATGTTTATGGGTGCTCCACACACAGTGGCTCCCGGGGAAGAAAAAGCTGAAGAAATGAACGGGAAATTCCGAAAGAGGACAGGTTCAGTGGCTTCTAGAAGGAGCGAATCGCGGAGAAGTGAGAATCGGAGAAGCTCAGATAATGTGGAGAGTTAGATGCACAAGAACAGGCCCGAGCACTCCGTCCCTTCTTTGATTGCAATATATTTATATAAACATTTATGAGATTCATCCGTCTCTCTCATTTGCCTCGGCCATTAATTAAAATACATAATATCTATTATTTGTATTTTTAAAATCACTGGAGACCAGGTTTGTCACCCACTCCCAGGGACGCAGTCGTGTGTTTTGCATATTCCTTTTATGTTTTTTTATTATTTCAAAGGTTGTAATTTTTCTTTACTATATAAAGGTAAAATGTATAACTGGAGAGACAGAATTTTTTTTCCAACCATTAGCAGGTAGTCACATCGATTTTCTTTCCTGGACAAAATTTTGAGGAGTGAAAGTCACAAATTTTAAGGAATACTTAATATTTTCTAAAATGCAGGTACGAAATAAATAATGTGAATATTAAATAAGGGTGCATAATAATTAAATAATTTTGTTATATAATTCAATTATAATTAAGAATGCGTTGCACCCCTGCAGTTCTGTACAAGAGAGTTGAACTTCTTTAAGAGAATAATCCAAATCAAAACAAGGTGATATATAATAACGCATAATTTTTTTGTCATACCATTTATTAATTTTGTGTATAAGCAATAATTTATTATACATATAGTGTGTTATATTTTAAATTTAAATGTACAGTATTTAAATGCTGGCAAAATATGTACAGTATTTAAAGCAACAAGGGAAAATTGGCGACAAAAAAAGCAAAAAAGAGACTCATGAGATCCATGCATAAAATCTTACAACGACAATAAATGGAGGGGACGAGGGAAGCTATATTGTTTATGATCTATAAATACTCGTTGGGTCCTAAGAAGTCTTATATTTAGGGCAAGAGAAGTAATAAATTATGTAATTTTTTAAAATTGATTAAGATATTGAAATTTATATATACTACTGTCATTAAAAATTAAAAAATTATAATTGAAAAATTGTACAAAAAAATGTACTTCTGTTTGCTTCCCACGGGGGAAAAAATATATATCTTTGAAATTTTCCTTCGCAAATTATTTTTTCTGATCGATTATATCGAAATTTGTTTGATGACAAGCGATTGTAATTTCACTCGAAAATATATAAAGGGGCAAACTTCTTCTAAGACCATATAACTTTCTATCTGGAGTTAGGGCGAAAAGAGAAAGAAGATAATGGTTGACTTGCATCCATGGTATTCTTCCGGTCCTTATTATAAGACCCAATTTGACTTTTTATTTGGTTCTAATTATAAGACCCAATCCATTTTGTCTCTTATATTTATGCATTTTTTTCCAAGATAATCCTTCTAATAATGATAGTTTTAGCCAATATACTTAATTAGCAAGGATATTTTAGGAATGACAACACTTATTTATTATAAATAACCAACTTAACTTACTTCCTTAATCTCCTCAAATAAGTCAATTGGGTCTTATAATTAGGACCGGAGGAGTAATTCCAATGCAATTTAAGGCTTATTTTGTATAAAATATGATTGGATACAAAAAGGTAGTCAATGAAAAATCATAAGCAATGTTGTAAGATAAAATTTTATGAATGAGGAAAATCATGTCAAGAAAGCTATTTTGTTTCTATATTAATAACTAACAAATACCAAAAAAAAAACATTTTTTTGAGGGAGAAAAGTCGATAGCTCATCAAGGTCCTCCTGCATTAAACATTTTATTGGTTTGACGAATATAATAAGTTTTTATGTATAAAAAGTTCCTCCTACACGAAAATGTTTTTAAAAAATCATATTGAAAATTTGACGGGTGAAAAGAATATAACACGTTTTTATACTACTGTATAAAAAGTATCAACAGCTTACAAATTTTATACATACAAAATACCGATATTTTAATTTAAATTTTTTTATCAATAAAAGTTTGAAAGAGATTTTTTTTTTGGGGTAGAAATGAGAGCATATGCCCAACTAAAAATTAAAATGAAAGGGGATTAAATCTTAGTAAATTGTTTTTCATAATTGTCCGTAAATGTCAATAACATTGATCTAAGATAGCTGAATAAAAGAGGGTTTTTTTTTCCCTGCTAATAACGCATCCGCAAGTGAGCTTTTGTTTCAGGAGACATATTTTAACTATAAGTGCCAATAAAAAGTTTTCATATCCCTCGTCAGGGAAGTAACTATCCTGATTGGCCCATTAACTCCAAGGAAGGTATCGTAATGGGGAAGTTGTTTTAAATATGATTTAAGGAAACGTATTATCACTAATTAGATGGGAGTTAATAAAAAAGAGTTTAGGTTAGGTGTTGCCTCTAATTTGGATTTTATTCGACTTGTAACTGACTAACTGTAAATGGAACGATGAAATTGGGGAGGGAACCCGCGTCGACAGCTAAGGGCAGCTCTGCAATTAGTATTCGTCACAAATCACCGGAAGCCATGCCTTGAAGTTAAAAGTTGAAACAACCCCTTAGACCTTTCGCCTGTTTTCATTATTCACTCGCACACGCTTTTCTAATTTTATTTATAATTATAATTTATAAGTAGGAAAGAATTTTTTTCATTTTTTATTTTTAACATCTCATTAACTTTTTAATATATATATAGTAGTACTCCTCCGATCCTAAATATAAGACTCTTATACACACTAGTATAAGGATTTTATATTTAGGACTAGATGAGCATTATTTTACTTTTTATTTAACACTGTACTGCCTCATGTATTTAATTTAAAAACTAGTTGACTAATTTGAGCAGATTAAAAAATCAGTGACGTTAGTTATTTGTAATAAATAGGTTTTACTTTTCCTAAATTATCTTTGTTAATTAAGTACATTGGCTATAACTATCATTATTACAATGACTATCTTAAAAAAAAGATAAATATGAGAGACAAAATGAATTAAAATCTTATAGTTATGACAAAAATAAAAATCAAACAAGCTCTTATATTAAATACTAGAGGTAGTATATATTGTTTCTTGGCAAAAAATTATTAGAGGTAGTATATATTGTTTCTTGGCAAAAAATTATACTACCTTTGGTCTTTAATATAAGACTTTGTTTGAATTTTATTTTGGTTCTAGATATAAGATCCCAATCCACTTTTTCTCTCATATTTATGCATTTTTTTCTCAAGATAATCCTTCTAACAGTGGTAGTTCTAACCAATACACTTAATTAGTAAAGATATCTTAAGAAAGACACCACCTATTTGTTACATATTTTAGGAAAGACACCGCTTATTTATTACAAATAACTAACTTAACTTATTTCTTTAATCTCATCAAATTAGTTAACTAGTTCTTATAATTAAGACCGGATATACGTAGTATATCTTATTACTACCTCCGGTCCTTAATATAAGATATTGTTTGACTTTTATTTTAATTCTAAATATAATACATCAATCCATTTTGTCTCTCATATTTATTTCTAACAATAATAATTTCAATCAATACATTTGATTAATAAGAATATTTTATGAAAAACTATACCTATTTATTACAAATAACTAACTTAACTTTTTTTCTTAATCTCTTCAAATTAGTCAACTAGCTCTTATAATTAGGATTGGAGGTAGTATTTTTTAAAAAATGTAAAAGTTGCAAAATTGTTGAATTTTGAAGTAAGTAAGGTTTAATGTTTTCTCTTCATTCCGGTAAAATATAAAATACAAATGAAGGAGTATGTGATTTCTAAACTTAACTGTGATTATAAAAAAGTATTATTTTTTATTAAAAATTTGAAAATTGATGGGGGTTGGGACGAAACCGAAGGAGGAGCACCCGGTTTGTCCGCCACGGTATGCCACGTAAATAAAAATATCATAAATATCAAAACTTCAACAAAATGACGTCACCACCACTCCGTGGTGCTTTCCTGACAAGGCAATCGAAAGAAAATAAAAAATAAAAATATTACAACAAATAATTAAATTTAAAATTTTAAAAAAAATGAAAAAGAAGGGCAACCAAAGTCCAAACAGACAAATAGTCTCTTCAATTCTCTTTCTCTCCATTTCCATTCACTTCCCATCTCAACTATTAAGATTAAAAGTTTAACGGTCTAGATTTAGTGTTTTTTAAAATAATTTTATAAAGTATTTTTTATTGTTGTTTTGAATCATATTTGCTAACATTTAGTAGGTTTATTTGCTTTTATTTATTTATTTTTGAAATTTTAATATTGTATTTATAATTTTATAAATGTAAAATATTAACCGTTAAAATCTTAATCTTATAACTGAAATAAAAAGTGAATGAAAATAGGAGGAAAAATAAAGTGGAGACGCCTTGGCCAACTCAAACGCAGATCTTGCCGCTCTCTTCGCTGCCATTACCGACTTTGACTAAGAATTTGTCACTGTATCACCGAAATGTTATACCATTATCTGCCCAACAAATTACCAAGCATCACGCACAAAGCATCTAATTTAATGCAATTTTTTTATAAATATATATTTCTTAGATATATGTTCGATTCATTTTCGTGCATTACAAATATTATGCTTATATTACGTCTTATTAAAAAATTGATTCTGAATGATCTTGATGATTTAATGTGTTGAAATCTATGTATACTTTTGTTTTGTCATTTCTTTTAAATCCCCAGCAAAGGTGTGAAGCCAATCATTTGTTATTACAGTGATACAATATTTTAATTATATTGATTATTCTTAGTTGTTTTCTAGTTCAATATATTTTAAAAAGACACCATTAATATTTTTATCCTAATAGTTTTGATTTAATTGTAACTTAGTCCTTAAACTTTAGCTTTCAATACAACACAGTTTTTATAATTTTAACTAGGTTAAAATTCAGTTTCTCAAGTTTAATTAAGAATAATTCAGTCTTTATATTTTAGCTATTTAGAAAATTTGTCCTTAGTTTTAATAATTATTGAATTATAATCAAGTTAAAGTTACGGGAAAAATTTATTTATTTTTATTTCGTCTAAAAACGATGCTTGAGCCTGTAGCCAATATTCGTTTTTCCTCCGGCTAAACGTCATTTTCTTGGTCTGGCTCACAATGAGGACCACAAATTTCTTGAGAAGTGAGTGTGGGAAATA